ATGCCATAAAGACAACGAGATAGAGTCATTTATTAGTAATCATTTCTAGTTAAAGCTTCTGGCTTTACATTCCATAGACGAATTGAGTTATCCCCTACTGCCAGATGCTTATGTAGAACCATCAGGAGGGTAACAAATTGATTAAACGTCTCAGAATGACCATCTAATTCTATCCTGTCTTAACATCCCATTGACGGATGTCTTCTAATCATTTCAATAAGAATAGAGTTTTAAACTATGAACCCAAAAGTATCTTGTGAATTTTATCTCAAACAATCCCATATTAATTAATTATGAAGAGTTGATAATAATTTATCATAATAACTAAACAAAGAAACTTATGAATCTAGAATAAAATACAAACAAATTATCAAAACACCTTGTTACAAGATATAAGATTTCAAAATTAAAATGTCAATACCTTCATTATATAGCCATAAATTTAAACTCTGATTTTTGGGATCTTTACAAATTATGTATTAATTAAAATATGATTCAACTTGAGTATAATTTATTATGGACTATTTCAGATATTATATGCATATTATATTTATATTGTTAAATTTAAAGTATAGTTCTTGTTCTATTTTAAATGCTAGGTTTGCTTCTCTATTTAATGATAATTACTACAAATTTTTCCATGTTATTATGAGATATCCAAAAGGTTGTAACATGTTGTGCCTCTAACCTCTCAATTGTCAATTTAGTACTATAATATTATAGTTACATATAGTGTAAGAATGGTATATTGAAGCTAATCTTTTGTTCGGATTAAGTGCTTTATATATTATTGCTAAGGAGACTGAATAATTAAGAAACCAAAACTCATTTAAAATCAATTGTTTTATAAGGCTTTTATACAATTTATTTCAATTCTTGTAAATAAAATCTTAATGAGAATGTATAATTAATCCTTAATTAATAACACTAGTTCCAAATGAAGATCTGTATGTTCCTTAACTAATTTGAGATGGGGTGAATTAATAAATACTTTTTGGATGAAAGAAATGGAGTCAATGTTTTAGAGCCTTCAGACGATTTCTCTAGAGAAGTGGTGTAAAGGATGTATAAAAATTGGTACAATATTCTTCCTTTGTTTATCATTAATCAATTCACCACTTTTAGGAATAGTTGATTTCTGATTCTAACTGCTGCAATCATGATGGCTTCACAAAAATCTCACTCAAAATTAATAAGGACAAATATTGCCTTTATTCTCAATGTCATAATTGCAGATCAATTATTAGAACAACGTAATTTGCTTTGATGAGATAGTATTTTTTTAGAGCAAACATATAGTTAAGTCTCGGTAATTTGCCAAATTCTTCATATAGCAAGTCAATTCTAGTTTAAGTAAATATGCCAGAGTAGACATATCACATCTGATAACAATTTAATAAACTTGCTGTGGCTCAATCATTATGATTACCACATGCAGATAAACTTCTTTAACTTGTACCAACATATACTGGTTCCTTCTTCGTGAAAAGTATTATCAATAATATACTGATTGTAAATATTCCAAAATAGTACAAAAAGCTTTAAAACATCCTCATCAGAAACCTATGAATAAACTTAAAGGTTTATTTTTAATACAATCTAATTTTCAATTATTTATAATTAAAAGCTCATAAATTTATGAATCACTTTTCAAAGTTGGCAAATTTTTTTGTCTAACAGTTTTCTTTTTACACTTTATATGAAAAACAATCAAGAAGTCTTTTCGTTAAATGTTACTTTATTTATTATATTCCATTAATTTAATGTCAGAAAGTTAAACTGAATTCTTATAAAGGTAAGTAATCAACTTAACTAAAGAAAATCATCTGTTAAAAGAAGATAACTTGGCATTCCGTCATTTTTAAAATAATAGAGTAAAGGAATTGAAATCATACCTTAGAGATGTTCAAATATAGATTTCTAAATATATTGCGTGATATTACACAAGCTTTATGATTAGTCAAGGGGGTGCTGAATACTAATGTTTGAACAAGAATGCTCTCCAGCATGAAATTAAACAACTGAAGATTTAATGTGCTGAATTAAAATAACTATTGCTTGAATAGGTCAATATTAACAGCAATAATAAAAGATTGAAACTAACTTAACAAAACAATACTCTAAAGCCCTAAAGGAACTTTAGGAAAATTTAACATTAGCCACTTCGAATTGCTAAATATATAGAAATTCAATGAATTTTCTAGCTTAAGAGAAAACAACATAAGAATAGTAAATTAAGAGTTTCTAAAATGAAATTTAATAACTAAAGAAGTAACGTGATGTTGAAAAAAACGAATTATAAATGATTATAGCAAGAGGAAATCATAATTGTCTGACTTGGTAAAGGCATATACAATCCGATTACATAAAGTTTAATAGTCAAATTTCGAGGAATACTAAACGAAATTAAAGAATTAGGCTAAGGATATAAATGAAAAAGGTAAGAATTGAAGAAGAAGATTTCATCTTATGAGAAAATTAACCAAGAATTGCAACAAGATTATGAAACTATCCTTAATTAATAGACAGAATTGCAAGAAATAATTATAAATTAACAAGCAGAAGCTTAAGTTCTATCCTAATTAAATTATTAACTTTAAGATAATTCAAAATAACAAGAATCAATTATTTCTGATTTAAAATTATCTATTGCCTCATTGAAAGATGAGATGAAATGACTTAATAAGTACTTTAACAAAAGATTATAGATATCGAATTGTAAATAGGCATCTGCGAAATCCTAAATTTTGGAATTGATTAAATTGATAAAATAAGAAAGTTAAGAAAACTAGGCAGAAAGGAAGTAACTTAACGATTAGGTCATTAAATTGCAAGACAATAAGTTATAGGAAGAAGAACCGTAACTAATATTTTAAAATGAAATTTGTTAACAAAAAATTTCTTAATTATAAGATCAAGTAGTTGGGCAATAGGAATTTGAAATTAAATATAGAAAACTTATAAATGATATATAGTTTACTTAGATTATGAAAATAAATTGGAAACCTAGTCTAATGTATTTAAAAATGAAATAAATACTTTAAAGATTTANAAAAGCTCATAAATTTATGAATCACTTTTCAAAGTTGGCAAATTTTTTTGTCTAACAGTTTTCTTTTTACACTTTATATGAAAAACAATCAAGAAGTCTTTTCGTTAAATGTTACTTTATTTATTATATTCCATTAATTTAATGTCAGAAAGTTAAACTGAATTCTTATAAAGGTAAGTAATCAACTTAACTAAAGAAAATCATCTGTTAAAAGAAGATAACTTGGCATTCCGTCATTTTTAAAATAATAGAGTAAAGGAATTGAAATCATACCTTAGAGATGTTCAAATATAGATTTCTAAATATATTGCGTGATATTACACAAGCTTTATGATTAGTCAAGGGGGTGCTGAATACTAATGTTTGAACAAGAATGCTCTCCAGCATGAAATTAAACAACTGAAGATTTAATGTGCTGAATTAAAATAACTATTGCTTGAATAGGTCAATATTAACAGCAATAATAAAAGATTGAAACTAACTTAACAAAACAATACTCTAAAGCCCTAAAGGAACTTTAGGAAAATTTAACATTAGCCACTTCGAATTGCTAAATATATAGAAATTCAATGAATTTTCTAGCTTAAGAGAAAACAACATAAGAATAGTAAATTAAGAGTTTCTAAAATGAAATTTAATAACTAAAGAAGTAACGTGATGTTGAAAAAAACGAATTATAAATGATTATAGCAAGAGGAAATCATAATTGTCTGACTTGGTAAAGGCATATACAATCCGATTACATAAAGTTTAATAGTCAAATTTCGAGGAATACTAAACGAAATTAAAGAATTAGGCTAAGGATATAAATGAAAAAGGTAAGAATTGAAGAAGAAGATTTCATCTTATGAGAAAATTAACCAAGAATTGCAACAAGATTATGAAACTATCCTTAATTAATAGACAGAATTGCAAGAAATAATTATAAATTAACAAGCAGAAGCTTAAGTTCTATCCTAATTAAATTATTAACTTTAAGATAATTCAAAATAACAAGAATCAATTATTTCTGATTTAAAATTATCTATTGCCTCATTGAAAGATGAGATGAAATGACTTAATAAGTACTTTAACAAAAGATTATAGATATCGAATTGTAAATAGGCATCTGCGAAATCCTAAATTTTGGAATTGATTAAATTGATAAAATAAGAAAGTTAAGAAAACTAGGCAGAAAGGAAGTAACTTAACGATTAGGTCATTAAATTGCAAGACAATAAGTTATAGGAAGAAGAACCGTAACTAATATTTTAAAATGAAATTTGTTAACAAAAAATTTCTTAATTATAAGATCAAGTAGTTGGGCAATAGGAATTTGAAATTAAATATAGAAAACTTATAAATGATATATAGTTTACTTAGATTATGAAAATAAATTGGAAACCTAGTCTAATGTATTTAAAAATGAAATAAATACTTTAAAGATTTAAAAGCAAGAGTAACTAATCCATGCATAAGAAGTAGAAATATAAAATTCAAAAAATTAAAGAAAGGATTTAAATGCAAAAAATATTTGAATAGACTTAACAACTATTAAAATTAGAGGCATTATCTAAAATATTTACAGAATAACGTAAAGAATAAATTAATGATTTACAAAATTAATTTAATAATCGGCCCAGTAGACAGGATGATTTGGATATTACCAAATAACTTGAAAAAGAAAATGAGGATTTACAGGAATAAATATGAAGGAACTTTGCAAAAATAGAATCTGCTAATGAAATAGTGAAATATCTATATTTTCAAATCATAAACCAAATAATTTTCCAAAAAAAAGAATTTGATTTGATTCAACGCTGGAGGACGAAAGATCAATTGTTTTTGATAGCAAATAAGATTTCTTGCCCACTTTAAGTTTATCAAAATTAATATAATAGCTAAGAAATCATCAATAGTTACTAATACCTTTGCCATTATAATAGTCAGAATTTTCTGGATTTTTTAAATTGCTTAGTCATAATTTTCCAAAGCCTCCTCAAATCTATTCATTTTATTTAAAATTTCCTAAAATCATTTTTTAATTATTTATATTCTAAAATTTCATCTAAATTAGAATTAATGCTGAATAATCTTATTTAACAGCGTTTATAAACATGTTCATTTTGGCTAAAATTTATTCATGGTAGTTCTCAAATTTCCTAGCCTCTAAATTATAATGAATTTTTGATTATACATAAGTAATTACAATCCTCTAGTTTTTTACTTAATTGCTGAATCACATAATTTTGAAGCTTCTTAAGATTATTAGAGCATTGTTTTACAATATTATGTCAAACAAACTTGATTTAAATCCGAAATATATTTCTAAAGTCTTTTATGTTTTTCTTTTCCAAATATATTTTTATTTATAAACTCATTTTTTTCTTTTCTTTTAACTTATTGGATTACACCCTATTTTGTATTCTATATGTTTACCCTGTATTAAAAACCCCCTTCTCATTACTCATCTTAGTATTTATTAATTTTAAACTTGCTGTCATACTAAATGCTTTCTTTTGAAAAATTAACCTTATTTATTATTTAGGTTATATTTTCTATTAAAGCAATAAACTTGAGACTTATAATTTAACTTTTTAGAAACTTATCCAAACATTTTGGTATTACTCATCAAATTCCATATATAATTTATGAATATTTTAATATTTATGTTTGATTAAAAAATCGTAAAAAGACAAAGATGCCTAATGAATAAGATTATTATTATTGACTTAAAGAATAGATAATTATCAATTCAAACATCAGATATAAGATTAATTCAATTGATTCTTTCTTTAGTATTGACGATGATGCCTGACTAATTTAAGGCAACCACTTGCCTAAACTTGCTTCTTCAATGATGACTTCAAATTATCTCCATTTCCTTGTTGAAATTTTTCACAAAAGAGTTTAGCATCTTATTCTAATACTACCTATTTGATTTCCAACTTGATAATTCTGTTGGGTTCACAATTCTAATTAATTCTATCTGATCAACTAATATGATCAATAATTTCGAAATTTCTTTAAAATTTTTGGTCATCTTAAGAAAAAGAATTGTTATTTTTATCGCTTTTAACTATTATTCAGTTTTTTCTAATATTTGTAATTAACCACAATTTTTTTGAGATTTTATAATTAAGGTGTTTTTAAAAAGAAACACGACAATTTCAAATTAGTAATAATAGTTTGATAATAGCATAAATTTAATTTTTTTTCATTGAATTCTTATCGAAAAGGAGAATTATTCTCAACATTCTCAAAGAAACAAAAAAATATATTTTTGATCTTTATCTGTTGTTAATTTGTACTCATTGAAAGAAAAGGAAATACATTAATATGATTTGACAGAATACTCTCTTAAAATTATTCTTAGTTGTTGTTCCAATTCACTTGTTGTTTCCCCCCAGAATGTTTCAAATCCTGATATATTTAAGGTAAATCTTTTTCTAAATTTATTTATCCGATTTAAATTACTATTTTTCAAGAATGAAATGTGGAGCATGAGAATTAAATTCATTTTTATCAGCTTTAATTTAATTCAACAAATTCAAATTTGTCACAAAACTCTTGTGTACCTTCCAATCAATTGTATTTTTAAAAACAAAATTTTTCTTCATCATCAATTTCATGACCATTATTGTTTCATTAATTAATCTTGCTTTTATGAAATTAATTCAGGTAATTCAAATAAATTGGGTAAATTACAAATAGTTTACCAATTAGAACATATATTTTATATGAATAACTTAAACTTTACATTTGTGATGTGTCTGTTTGGGGCTGCTTCTGATAAATATTCTTAATCATTCTTATCTCATAAAGATAAGCTTCCTCTGAAAAAGTTTCATCAATTATCGATTATCTCCAGTCTTTATTAGGACACTTGCCTTCATTCCTTCTCCATCATTTTTCAATGAATGCAAATCCTAAATTTCTATGTTCTCTTTAAAACTAACCATAACTTTTACTACAATTTAAAGAGTTTAGGCCTTAGTTTTCCTTAAAATTATGAAAAATAAATATTTTTAAGGTGAAAACACTCTGAGAATTTCTCAATAATTTATTTCCAAATGAATTCAAAAGTATTATAGAACAAAGATGATTTGTATGAAGTATTAGCTTAATTGAAATTTATTGATAGCAAAATATTCAAATTGATAATTGAAATGCTTAAAAAAGAGGCAATTTCAGATTCCCAAAGCTTTTATCACAAGATGAAAACCAAGAACGTTGGGTAGAACACATTTTAGTTTAAAATTTATCACAGCAAGATAAATAAAAGAAGCTAAACTAGATGAAACAAGCTATTTAGAGCATTCATACAGTTATTGAAAAAATTAATATCCATAACTTCACTATAAATAATTACTCTGGTGAACAATATATAGAATAGAAATATGCTTTAATTAAGAAAATAGGGGTAGATGAAAATATAATTGAATTCTGAAAATATTTAGTCCTTCTCACTTCCATCGATAATAAATTCATCTAAGTGGGTCAAATTCTATTCATTGTTAATTGAAATGTAGGTTGACCTGAAGGCATAATCTTTTGAAAAAATTACCATTTAAATTACCACACTTTGAGGGGCGAATTTTGTCAAATGTGACTTGAGGGGATCCTAATTTTGAAAATGTCATTTATTGGTGCAATAAATTTAAATGGACAAAATTGTTTAATAGTAAATGGAAAAATTTTTAAATGAATGAGAGAATGGAATTAAATGATAATAGCGGTAGGGTTAATTCAATTTGCTTTTCTTCAGATAGTAAATCCATAGTATCGAAGTAGTGAAGACAACTTCATTCGTTTGTGGGATATTAAGACAGGAAGAATTAAGTCTAAATATAAAACCAACAAGGATGTAAAATAAATACAATAGCTAAATAGAGTGGTAAATTTTTGTGTTTATGGAATCTAAAATCAGGGAAACAAATGTCGGGACTTCTAGGTCATACTAATTAGATTTGTTCAGTTGCTTCTGTTTCGATGGAGCTACTTTGGAATCAGCTTCTTATTTTTATTTTACTTTTATTCGCAATTATATTATAATTAGAAAGAATTAAAAATAAAAAACTCCAGATTAAAAGAAAATTGACTTTTTGTGATAAAGAAAACCCTCTGGGACTTTTCTTTCGAATATTATGGTAGATTTATAACTTTATACTTTGCATCTTGAAGTATTAATTTTCAACAAATAAGAAAATTTGAGTTTATGGGTTCCAATTTAAATAAGTTGTATATGACTTTCTTGAAAAATTGTGAATGCAACACATAAACAACAAATCTTTTGAGTAACCCTCAAACTCTCCTAGTGCACTCAAATATAAGATTATTATTTCAATAAATAAACAAAGAAACTAATTAACTAGATTTTAGAGTCTAGGATAACAACAACGATTTTAATTCAAATTATTAATCTAAAATTATAACTTTTGAAAATCATTTTTTCAATTTTTCTTTTATCAATTAATTAATAATGTTATAAACTTTGATAAATCTTAAAATTCAAGCCTTCATACAATAGACTTACAGTAAAAAGGTAAGATAGTAAAAATCTAGCATAATATATATACTGTTGAAAAATCTGTAATATATAGTGGCAAAAAAAAATAACAACTCAACATTAGAAAGTAAAAAATTTGGGTTTTAATCAGATATTTGGAATTTATATTTAAGATATAGGTGAATAGAATTCTGAAAAAGTAATTTTTGTAATTTAAATATATTTGGGGCTCTCTTAATTCCTTCTTATCAATTCAAACATAAAATTTCTATGTTTAATTATTATTAATAATAATTTCCAGTTCATGGAATCAACTTATGTCAACAAAATAGATGAAGCTTAGAAAAATTTGGCTAATATGCAAGAGAACTTCTTGATTCTTTCGCCATATTTGATAACAAATCTTCTATGGATGCTCGTGCTTCATTAGTATTGAAGGGCAAACATGGGCTTAAGAAACCTTTCAAGCGATAGACCCAGATGCATAAATCCTTCTTATATTGATTAATTGACTTATAAATGTACATATATTTAGAGATATTTGCTAGCTTTTTAACAATAAAATTTCTTAACAAAATAAGTATATCCGACCTTTTTTTCACAAATCTTTATAAGGACCCTACAATGAGCTTAGTTTTAGCACAGGTAGGTTTCAAAAAACGCTCTCCTAATTATTGGACCTATCTCATGCTTGTTATTATGTTAATTTTATATTTATAAAGGAACCTAGTTTGTTTTTTTTTTAGTCAACTTTATACTTTGCCTTTTGATGATCTTTCATTTCTTTTATGCTCTTTTTTTGCTTTCTAACTTTTGCCCTTGACTTAATCGATTAATGAATGCCCACTTTGCTTTAAGATACAAAGGGATTATGATAGCTAGGCTTTTAGTATCTTATCCAATATTGATTTTATTGTGACAATTTTTATTTTGTTAGTAATTTAACTTTCTAATAAATAAATAACTAACAAAAAAATTAAAATTAATTTTTAAGCTAATAAAGTCGATTTACATAATTAATGCTTGGCTGAAAAATTTCCTCACATCCTAACTAAAAAGTTATTTCATTTCTAAATGAACTGGAGAATATTCATAGAGGTTAAAAGTTTAAGCCAAATCTAAATTCTATATCCAAGAAAAAGCTATATTTAATTCATGCTATATCTGGAATCCTGTAATTTATAGCCTGATTTTATGTTAATTTTATGAGTGAGAACGGATGTATAAGTAAGAGAATAAATCTCTAAAGTAAAAGACATTAATTCTTATGATCAGTTAAAGTAAAATCAAATTTTTGGAAATGGCATTCATTATTACAGCTGATAGAACTCTATCCAACATTTATCAAAATTGAAGGCTTACCATCAATCCCCCGTAAATGTTGTATATTTCATATAAGTTTGCTCCACATATAAATATGATTCAGTTTTTCTTCTATTTTGTTTGTATGTTCAAATATCAAGCTAATTAAGCTAATAGGATTACTTTGATCACTAATTAAAAAAAATGAATTTATATATAAAAATCAAGAATGACTAGGTAAAACATGTAAATAAGAAATTGCTTTTATATAAAAAAAAATGCAACATTAAGATATAGATTTTATGAATTTATTTTATAGAGGATATGGAATGATACAAGTGTTTAAATTTCTGATATAATCAAATGTAATCTAAGTGAATTTGGAACTTAATTGCTCAATATTTTTTTTTCCTAATGATAAATATGTATTTTTTTGTGCAAGCACCTATTTTTAATTTAAAGTAATTGGAAACTCAATTAAATGTATGCAATTTCAATTTTGAATGAGATTCAATCTATATATTATCATAATATATTTTCTCTTCATTTTAGAATTGTTAATTATTCCAATCTTGAAATACTTCCCATATTTTATTGGCTTTGTACAACTAAAACAAACAAAAAAAGGTATTAGGAATACATTTACCTTGTTAGAAATACCTAAAAATATTATTTCTTATGTTAAGAATAATTTTAAAGGTTAATTTTTCAAATGGTAGTTAAATTTTCCATAAAATGAATGAAAATTTAATATTTCCCTTTGAATTTGGAAATTTTCAAATTCACAAATCCCGGGGTGGTCCCACCTGCCAGACATTAGTATGGTTGGATAAATTTTCCTAGCCAGTACGGCCGGAGCATGGATGGATAAATTTTCCTAGCCCGTACGGCTGGAGCATGGATGCTTTCCCAAGCTCCTACGGCCGAAATACGAATAGATCATAACGGTAATTTAATTAGAATAGAAGATGATTTGACTTTTCCAAGAGAAAAGAAATTTATTGATGTACCCAATTTTATTAATGCACTAGTATTGATACAAATTAATAAATATTAAGAATTAAATAGTTTAAATTATTATATAAATTCTCAAACAGTAACGTAACTGTAATAGCTATTTTTGAATAAGTTATTCATGACAGATTATTTTTTAAAAGGACCCAATTCGTTTCGCAATTATGAAATATGTTTAAGTTTGCAGCTGGGTGTATATTAGAATCTCCATGCAAATTTATAAAGATATTTTGAAATTTAACGTGTAACGTAGGAATAATTAAATTACAATATTGTCGTTTGATAATATGTAATGTCAGTTTATATTACTATTTGATCGATCAATTTGCATTCTACATTGAAAATTATCAATAAATGAATTCTAAATTTACTATGATAATAATTTCTAAAATTAATTTATTGAGAATTAAAATAAGCAGTAATTAATTGGATTAATATTTACTTTTTATTCCAAACCACATGGTTCTTGTTACAAGGTTATTTTTATCAATATTACTGCTTTTATTCGACTTTTCATAAGAATTCAAACAAAATTAATCTATTTCGAAAACTTAAGCTTTTTATTTTGATGTGATTTTCATTATTTTTAATTATTGTTAATTTTTACAGCATTGAATCTGTTCAAAAGATGGTCTCCTAATTACTAACAATGGGAGCTTGAGCAAATTGTTATTAAAACTAATTATTTTTTGCCATAATACCATTCTAGGTATACTCATTAGCGACAAACAAAACAGACATTGCTTTTTAGAGCATAAGCTATGTGTAATAGAAATATTTCATTAATCAACATCATTAAAATTAAAATTGGATAAATTGGTACTAAAAAGAGTAATTGCTATCATTGATATAATGTAGAAAAATCGACAACTTAGGGATAAATTTGATTTCCAATTAATTTTAAAACCAATTCAAAATTATAGATAATATTGACCATGATAGTGGATAGAGAATTATTTATTGGTAGCAAAAATGTTTTTTTTGCAACTACACCTAGATATTTTGATTTATCAAATCTATTTAATAAGTACCAAGAAATAAATTTAACTCTAAAAGGTAACCTTAAAAATGTCAATATGAGATTAAAACTAAATTTTACATCAACTTTATCAAATTATCAGAACTTATTTAGAAGCGAAACTTTTATTGTAGAAAATTATAATTCTATACTTTCTACAAAGATACACAAATTATCCATTACATTTACTTATGAATTTATCAGGCAACTTTATAATAATCTTTCTAGAATCTTCTTTGAGACTACCTCCTGTAGAAGTATTGAAATATATATCATTCTTTTGTAACTTAAAAGACCGCAGAATTTTAACTAGAAAAAAAATGATTCTTAAAGTTTAATATAAATGTAGACTTCATTAGAATTCTATTTCTTTAAATTGATGCAATTCAAATAAAAAAATATTGTATTAAATGATTTGTATTTGATTAAGATAAGCATTAGTTTATAACGGACATATAGAGGGGTAAGAAAATGATAATTTAATCACTTTTGACATTATATTTGTTTTAGAAGAAGAAATTTGAAAATCTTAAAATTATAATTTTCAAAATTATTTATAAAAACTTCTGTCACTAACAAAACATTATTTCGATCATTGTATCTCTCAAGAGTCCTTGTTTTCTAAAGGGGATAATAAATATAAGATTAGTAAAATAATTTAGATTTAAGTGCTTGGTGCAATTTAGTTTATTGTATTTATTTTCGATTCATAAATTTTCTAGTTAATTAAGGAATTTCATGAAATTAGAGAGGCCATATATAACTATGGGCTAAAAGAACGATTAAAATCTCGTTCTTTGTGATATAAAAATTAATTTAATGTAATAATGTTTTTTTATAATGCAAGAAATCGAGATTAATAAACAGAATCACTAAAGTTTACCTTTGATATACAGCATGTTTTAAATTAGACAATAATTTATTTAATTTATAATTAGCAGCTTTAGGGTTGGCAAATAGAACAATAAATTCTGACTTAATTTGTAAAAAAGAAACCCCTTATAATTCAAAATTTAATTCAATGTAATTTTTAACATATATAAAGATCAGTATGACAAAAATGATTATAACAATAAGTTGTTTATGAAACAAAATTAAAGTATTGAATATTTTCTTTGTATTAAGTTAATGAAACCAAAAAATTTCTTTCTGAAAAAAAAAAAAAATTTATTTATCACATAAAAATTTGATAATTGTTAATATACATAAACTAGAATATATCACATTAGATACATTAATAAAAGGATAAACAATACTAGTAAAAGTAAAATTGAACAAAAAATCATAATATTGGTTTTAGTTATATATTTGGAATTACAAAAGTATTTCTAAGTTCTTCCTAATATAGTTAATTTATTTACTTGTTGCAACTTTTGATGTTATATGATCATCAGAAAAATTAGTTTCTTCTTCATTTGACAAATTCACTTAACCCAATATTAGAAAATCAGACGTTGTATCAACGCTATCATATAATTAGTTCGGATATTTTGATTCTCTTCTTAACGTATCAAACATATCTGGAGTGTTTCGAAAATATGAATTCTAACTTTTTAATATTTCATTTCCTTAATATTCTAATTATTCTGTTGATATGTTAGCTATAGAATTCTTGTTTAAATATGACAATGCTTCAAAAAAGTCAGGTCTATTATAATTTATTGGATCTAGCATTTTTTAAATCAAAATCTAAATTTAAAAACCATAAACTTATTCAATAAGCATAAAAGTGATATGATTAATTTTAAGAAAATCTATTTGAGGATGCATTTAAATCAAACATAGGCCCAAACTATAAACTTATGCTTTGTATGGATTATAATTAAATGACTCCAAACCCTCTTTTATCGCTTACTAGATTTCTGGTGCATGGTATTATTTGGTTGAAAATATGCAAGGCTATAATTTAGAATGAACAAGCTAAATCATATTATCAAAATCACAAGTTTTAAATTGGGTTGGATTACTTCTATCATTAATCAAGATATTTTAAGGCTTTATATCTCCATGACACAAATGAATAGATTATAAATAAGCATGAGTTTAAACTGTAGATTTTAATAAGCTTGCAAGAGAATTTTTATTGATTGGTAATTATTCCTTTCTAATCAATTCAATATGATCTTACAAGCAATATTGCATATATTCCATACAAATGAATATAACTATTTATTTATTAATATGTATACTTGTTTAAAATTTTCCTGAAAATCTTTATTATTGTTGCATAGCCATTCCGTAGATTTATATGATGGTTTCGCTATATCCTTTCTATATTTGATATTGTTTTTTTAGTTTTTCTGTTTGTTCATTTTCTCTAAATAATATTAATTAATACACAATTATTGTAATATAACCTCTTTAACAGCAACAGCTTGATTCAAAAATTTATAAAGGTACACTCTATTATTCGAAGATGCTATTAATTTTGTCTAATGATATTTTTTCAGATCGAAAAATGGAATATCAGGATGAACTTAGCAAAATAAATTTTCCATATTAATTTAATATATAAATAAAAACCTTCTCAATCCTTTTGTAGAATATGAAATTTCGTTATTTAAAGTTTTGGATTATGAAGTCAAATTAATACATATCTAGCTACTACTGTCCTTTCTTTTTTAACAATTCTTTAAAGTATTTTGAACTTAACCAATGCAGGCTATTGCTTCGTTTATCCATTACAAGTTACTCCAACTTTACAATATTCTCATATCGAAATGAAGGTAACTTAAATGGCTAAACCTAATTTACTTCGTTTGCTACTTATTATTTTTTTCAGGCCCTCTTTTCAGTCTAATATCATTATTGTTTGAATATGTCAAAAATATTTTAAACTAATTGTTAGAATGGAAAATAATAATTATTAGACAAGATATTGATTTCATCATTTATTATTTTCAAGTACTTTGAGAAGATAATTTAATCTCAAATAATCAGATATTTCAAATTCAATCAGAAGTCACTCATAAACTTCTCTCTTAATAAATTGATTGATCTAAAACATTATTTGTTATCTTTATTACCCATTTGATTAATAGTATGCGAACTCCTGGATTCATTTTAATAGAATCATAAAAAACAATAAAAATAGATTGATTTACTAAGCAATAGAGACACTCAAGAAAAGAAAATATCATTTAAGAATTAGGAACTATAAAATGAGTATTAAGTGCTTTAGGTTTTCGAAGAACTATAAAGGATTAGAATATTTTATACCAAAATAAATCGTGAAGGATGAAAAACAGATGAAGCTTTGGAAAGGAAGTATAGCAACCGCAAAATGAAATCAATTAGGATAAATATAAATATTCAGCAATTACATTCTGTTTTCATAACAATTTCTATTCTCAAATCAATAACTTTTAAATAGAAATTAAACAAGGAATTTTTTAGGTTTGAAGTTTTTTGGAAGGAGTTTAATTAATTTTTTATTTTTTACAACTTCTTAGATTTCAACAGAATATCATTATTCTCCAAATAATATCTTTAATTTTAGATACGAATTTTTCAATAAAAAGAAAATATTTATTATTATTTTTCATATCAATAAATACTGATTATTATTTAATATTTTCTAATGGGAACTCAACATTCTTCGCCAATAAATTTTGCCTGTGTGTCCTGTTAATCGAACGATAATGAATTTGCTGTAAGATAAAATATCATCTAATAGAGCATAGATTGGAAAAAGCAACTGTAAAGGGAGTGCGAATAAATAAAAGATCGGTGCAAATGGGCAAAATATTTTATATCATAAGTTTATAGTGGATTAAAATCCTAACCAATTGAAGGGTATATAATCTAATTTTAATCAGCCAATCAATAGTACAAGAGTAATAAATAAGAATTATTCTTAGGCTAATTTCTAAAAAATTCGCGAAAGAGTTAAAGTTATTCTAGTAATCCAAATTTTTCAATTAAGCAAAGTTCAGAAACCTCTATCAAACAACTTATTTTGAACACAGATTTAACCATACAATAACTAGAAATTCAGACCAACACTATTCTGAATAAATAAGAAGCATCTGTGTCATTATAAATAATTGAGAAAAAGAAAATTAGTGAAAGCTTTGATAAGGAAGACGAATTATTAATTTCTCAACTATTATATTATGTGGATATGATTAAATTGTTGAAGCAACAGATAAGCAATCAGGATCATTAACTTAATGTGATTCTACATTTTTTTATAGATTCATTTAAAAGATAATACAATATGGATCGCTGTTCGAAGCAATTAGATCATGCTGTTACAGACCTAAAAGAATTTTCAAAAGTGTTTCAATCTTGCATTTAAAATTACTATTCAATTGAAAAAACGTAGATGTCTACAGGACTGGTGACTGATCTATTTAATAGAGAAACTATGTTGACAGCAATTTATTCTATGCTATTTTAAAAAGAAATCACCTATTAAATAATTTATGATATGACTTTGGAATATCTGAGAAAAGATATTGATAAGTTAAAGACCAATATTGAAAAATGTTATAATCATGAGGTAGACTTTTATGAGATAAATGTAAAATATAGACTTAATAAATCTACACACTCATATTTACTAAAGAAATATTCTAACTGTGAAATCAATTATAGAGAAGGAATTCCTTATCATAAATGCTTCAAACTTTTAGCTTAAATCAAAGAGAAATAATCTCCTTAATAAAAACTCAAAGCATTAATCTATTGTTTAGAGAAGATTATTAAATAGATTAAGCATTTCTACAATATATATGGTTGTGAATATGATTTTCAAATTGAATCGGCTGATCTTATCTCAATATATATGTACATAATAATCAAATCTCAGCTTTTTGATTTATAAGTTCATCTGTATTTCATTGAACATTTTATTAATACCAATCAAATTAATTATGGCCCTTATGGCTATTACTTAACTTCAATAAATGCAGCCATAAAAATGATTTTATTATAATAAAATTGAACATTAATATTATTATTTTCTAAATTATCAAAATGGATTAAATGAAACTTTAAATAAAAGCCACAAATATGGATGAGGACTTTATTAAAAAGCTGTCCGAAATCACATTTTCAGCAATGCAACAATTCAGAATTGAAAATTAGCTCATCACATTAATTACGAATGAGATAAATTTGATTAATTTGGATGGAATTGTATTGTTGGAAGGAATTTTGGAAGTCATGTGATTCATTAAACAAAGAAATACATTTTTTATAAACACAAAGAATTGTATTTCCTACTTTGGAAAGCATGAGTAATAACATGTATGCATTTAACAACAATAAGTCAATTTAGCATAACTAATATCTAATAACTCATTACATTCAAGATTAAGAGCTGAAAGTCCTTGTACTTATTTGTATTACTTACTGTTCCACTATGAAGAATCCTCATTTATGCTGCTATTTAAACTAAATAATCTAATAAGTCGTTCATGAATAGCTAAATTGATTGAATTCGGGATACCATAGAAAATTTTGAATTTGATATTAATCTTGAATCGTTATATTAATATTTAATTGTAATATCTCAAATTAATCCCTTAAGTCATACTGTTTTATCCAAGTTGGCATTTCTTTATAAATAATTATAAAAAATAAAAATTATTAAGTTCTTATTATCTTGAGAATGGGTTCTATATGTAAACAAGGGCAAAAATCTTAGAATGAAAAGGAAATATAAACTGAAATTTAGTTAACTCATTCTAAAGAATAATTTGAGGCAAGACATAATACTGCTAGCAACTAATATAATTGTTAAAGTACAAGGTAATTAACATTTCGAAATGATATTGCCTCAAAATTTATTAGTTTGAGTTAATCATCAGATTCAGAACCAAATTAAGATAATGACCCTGGGGATAAAAGATCATTTTTCTCTAACTTTTAGACGTTTTAAGCAATGCCTTCTCAAAAATCCTCGAAACTAGTTTCTCCTCAATTCACATTTTTTGCAGATGAAAACTCAATTGAGAATTAGTTCCAAAAGAAACTATAGAATAGATAATTAGAGTGAGTCTCAGAATTTTGATGAGAGTAAACCGATTTATGTATTTAAAATTTATTTGAAATTCAAAATATTGATCTTTTCATGTATTGGTCTTACAATACTCTCTAATAAAGTTAAATTAGAATACAAACTAAGCTTAATTTAATAAATGAAATATAAAGAAGTATTGAGATTTTCTGAAGACCTAGTAGTATTGGCTGAAATTGTTTTCTATAGTTGGGGTATCACAATTATTTAGAGATAGAGGAAACTTCCTCATTATTAGTAATATATTTTCTTAGTTTTATACTTGGAAGTACTTTATAAGGGATTTCCTCCTTTTAACATAGATTCTCAAACTTCACACAAATGCTGCTGTTTTATATGGGCTATATAATCAAGGGGATATCAGTATGGATTTCTACCTAAGAAAATATTTCCATCTCATTAAATGTTCATCTGATTATTCAATTCCATTTTTCAAAGGAACAAAGCCTCTAACAACGAAGTATGTCCTACTATGCATTTTTCTTAATTTGCATTAATACTTTTAATTATCTCACTGTGACTACCGATAGCTACTTTATTTTCTCACTTGATATCATTTTAGTAGTCTTAGATGCCAAACATCTTTCCTTGATTATTGATAAAAATGGTGGAAAGTCCTAATACCATTAACCAAATAGTACTCTTAATACGACTACAAACTAATAAAAGCTTGGGTAAACATTTCAATTTGAATTACTTTCAGTGAAAAGTCCAAAAGCACCATTTAATTTATATGATCGATTTTCAACGAAGAAACTTACATTTAACACCAAGCTGGACGTTTTCGAGTCCACTATAAAGTTAGAAGATTATTTAAAAAAAGTATTTGAGAATGATCTACAGAAAGGAGATTTAATTATTCAACAGGAATTTTTTTAATTATCATTATTATACAAATATAACGATGTTACACATAAAATTAAAATATCAGACTTTCTCTCTGATTATTACGAAGAATTATCAAACATTTATTATTTTTCAATTGAAGATAATGACATATTTGATTTTAGAGACACTGTTTTACTAATAGAATAGGTCAAAAATAGTGAAAGTGAAACACTTATTTAATTTTTGTTTTTGGATGTCCCTTAAAAATATTAAAGAAAGTAAAGTAGAGTTAGGAAATAATTGTTTTTCGATATGTGCAAATAATTATCACATGAATTAGGAACCAGTTTAAATTCCCTTATGACATTTAGCAATTTAGCTGCTGAAGATGAAGGAATTTCAGAATAAATAAAAACAACCTATATATACCCTATCTTAATTAATAGTGTCTAATTAAATCTAATTATTAATAATGTAAGAGATTTTACTCATTTGGGGTTAAAAATATTTCAACTTAAATTAGAAGAGATGTAAATCATTTAAACAGTAGAATTTATCAATACTTTATTTGAAGAGCCTCTTCAAAGTAAAGGAATAGAATTATCAGTTTAATATCATTTAAAGAACCGGTATCTAATTACTGACAAAGAGCGATTCGAATAAATTTATTTTTAATTATTATCAAATGCGATTAAATTCACTTTATCAGGATAAATAAGAGTTAATATTTATAATAATGCAGATAGATTTATTTTATCAATTGAGGATACTGGCATTGGATTGAGTGAAGAAGAAGAACACAATCTAATATACTTGTTGGATAAGGATGAATTTATAAAAGTTTCTGATAGTTAAGTTGGTTCTGGGATGGGATTAGTCATATCGAACATGATTGTCAAATAACTGAATAGAGGTGTGCCTATTAAGTTTAAAAAGTTGTTGATTGGAACTTAATTTTATTTTGAATTGCCTAATGATATTTAGGAAACATATATTTCGAATTCAAAGGCCTTAATAGAATATTCTCAAGGGTCATAATCTATCAAATTGCTCTCATAAAATTCCTATATAGAAGGACCACTAGGGTAATAATCCCATGTTATATCATCGAATTTATCTTCCTAAAAGTTATAGTTCAAAAAAAAGAGAAAAGAAACAAAGTCATTTTCGGTTGTTCATCATTTTGAAGATGAAATTGAAAGTGATGTTTAAAGCGAATCACATTAAAATAAGATTCATTTTTTACCATTTTTTTAAACAAAATAGAAAAAAGACATGTTAGAATATTGTTTATAAAGCGAGTGTTGCTCAAGAGCAATGATTGTTGATGATGAATATTATAATATACGTTGCTTGAAATTAATTATGCAAAAATATGGAGTATAGTGTGATCATGCATTTAATGGCTAAGATTCTCTTGCATAAATTAAATATAAAAAGGAAAACCCCTGCTAGCATTGTAATAATTAGTATTATTTACTCATATTTTTGGATATAAATATGCCTATAATGGATGGATTTCAAACTATTAAAATGATTAAAGGATAAATGAGATCAGAGGAGATTAAGAAAGTTTATTGTATAGCTACAACAGGATTGTGCGACCTCTAAACTAAGCAAAAATGCTATGAAAATGGAATGGATTATTTTATGACTAAACCACTAAACTAAAGTCTGCTGAAAGAAATTCTTTTAACATTTTTCCCAACTTTAGAAATAAAGGTTACTTGAATTTCTTTTTAAAATAAAATAATTTGAATATTCAATTTTGAGAAAAATATATTCACGCTAGTGATATAAAAATATTTATATGTCTATCTTCTTTTTAATCCCAATTTATTTCTAATAACGTTAGAATTCAATATAAATAAAAATAAAGGACTTGTGAATAAAATTTTATACCTTGTTTTTCTCAACCTCTAATTTATATATAACATAGATAAACAATTTAATTAAACAAAATTCTATTTTTTTAATTCAAAAAACTGACTACTACTCTGGGGTGCTTAAGCTTGATATCAATATCAAGATTTGTTTATTCATAGTTCCTTAAGAACATATATACTATTATAGACTATTTTATAAATTGCAAAAAGTTGGAACAAAACCTGTTATATATTATCAATAACATTTTTATTTAATAATAAACATCTTATAAATCAAGCAGGAATTGTTCTGAAATTTCCCCAAAATTACTTTCTTAAGCCAAACTAATTCTCACCAATACCTTCAAATCATAGGCAATAAATCACATTAGCATTGTTTAACAATTAATACGGACAATCTCTGAAAGAAAATATATAAAATATATAAAAAGCCAGCAAGTAACAGAAAGGGGAGGAGAAAGTATGCTCAATGAAATTATATATTATAAAAATAATACAGCAAAATTTAGCATTATATATTTTATAAAATATATTTAGGAAATATGGCTAGAGAAAGAATAAAAAAAGATTTTGACCAAATAAATTATATCAAGCTTTAGGGCAGTGATGATTTTATTGTAGATATATATGAAATAGGAAACTATTAAATACAGATATGCATTAAAGGTCCAGATGATTCACCCTATAAAAATTACCTATTTTTCCTTAATTTTCAGTTTTCGAATGAATATCCTTAAATTCCTCCATAAGTCACATTCATGAATAAAATTTTTCATCCAAACATAAATGTTTTAGGTTATATTTATTTAGGTATCCTAAAGGATGATTGGACGAGTGATTACTCAGTACACACAAGTAAGCATTCTACAAATCTTAGTTTTGGCGAGCATTAAAGAGCTATTAATAAAGCCGGATGAAGATAATTCATTTTTTCCAGATGCAACTTTACTTTATAAAAATAATAAAATTGATTTCGAAAAAAAAGCAAAGGAATGGGCATAAAAATATGCTATTTATAATTGATTCTTAAGTATTGTTTATTTTTCAATTAAAATTGCAATTCGATTAGAATGGTTGTATTTTCAAACTAATTTTATTATTAATTAAGTTTATTCCTCATGAATTGGTTGGAGTAATTACTTGATACTAAGATTTTAATTGGTATTGGAGTTGGCGTTCTAACAGCTTCTTTAAGCCTAATCCCTACATTAAAGGAACAAACTCAAGAAAATGTATTAAACTCAAAAATGAAATTATCAACTAAATCATTACCATCAACACAGGATCTCAAACAAGTATATATAAAAAAAAATGAAAAACAATAATGTCAGACTAATTCCACCTAAAATAATGGAAAAATTAAGAATTAGAACTCTACTAAGGCAGAGGCCAATTAATAAGATTGTTATTAAAACTTAGATGATAGTATTAGGAAAAAAAGAAAATTATAGGAGTTTGACGAGGAATCATCTCGAAAGGATTATTAATCTTCTTAGGGTTTTAATGATAATCAAGGGTCCTAAAACTTGATATAATAAAATAACAGTAAATATTTTATTATTAGATAGTTATAAACCAGAAAGAAACTGATTAATTTTCCAAATTAGGGGATCCTTAATCTTCAGACAATTAAGAAAAAGCATAGCCTCAAAAATAATTGAAAGAGAGTGATGATCAATCAGACCCTAAGATTTCAGAATAAAATGGAGAATAATAGGACGAAAAATAATAGTGATTATCATTCAAATAAACCAATTTTCGATTTCATATAAACATATTTGTTAGATATCATATATTTAATTCATAAAATCATAAATAAAGTTATTTGTTTGAAGATTTACTATTTATTATAAAAGTTAAATCAAATGACTTTCTTTACTATTTAGTAAATATTAAATAATAATAAAATTTAAAATGATATACTCATATTTATTTTTATTCGGCATTTTGTTCTAATTTTTGTATCATTAAATTTAAGGAATAGGCTTTCTTCTTATATGATCCTGTTAAATAGGTTTGGTTGTTCAAATCATACAAAAACCTTCCTAATTCAATCTAATATTGCTATATTTATTGATTAATACCATAAGATCATTATCTTTCTCAATCAAGATATCAGCCACAGCTTTGAATTCTCCAATATTAATCACATGTTCTTTTTCTATCGCTATTAAATTCCATAAGAATACTAGAAATAAATAAAGTATAGCCACTTACAACGAATGGATTCAATGATACACAAAATAAGTAATAGGTTTTTACTTTGAATTATAAAGCAAAGTTAATAAAACAGACAGATTCTTCCAACAATATTATAGAATATTGAGAAATAGTAGAAATTTTTATTATATCCTAAAATTTATCTTAAAAAACCTAAAATAAGTCTTTTATTTACAATTTGAGGATAATTTATTTAATAAACCCCAATCATATTTAACATCAACAAAGGAGACACTCAAACCTAATAAAATGATTAAACTCTGAAGAAGGTAATTCGGTAGAAAAGTCACAAAGATATTGATTTGGCTAAGTAAAATGAAAGTCAACATTGATGTAAATTTTATTAAATTGAGGTAAGATTTCTTATCTTAAATATAAACTCTTAATGAATAATAGAAACCATATATAAAGGGCACTATTAGAACAGTCTATGATAGATAGTTGAATTCTTTAAATTAAGTCTAATGTTCGAAATAGCAAAAATAATAATGAATTGTATAGGAGAACAATCTAAAGAACTAGCTACAACTCACCTAAATATCATGATATAAATTTGATACCATTTATTCAACGTTCCAAAGAATCTCCTTACTTAAATATAAACCACTCAATGTTTTGATTTGTAAAATCCAAAAATATTTTCTAGCTTGATATCCAAAAATTCTAAACGGATTTATCATAAATAATATTAAAAATATCCAAAGTAAAAATAATGCATATATTGGATCAAATTCAAAAAAGTTAAACATGTGATAATAAATTAAATGATTGCTAAGTGCATAAAATTTCAATTCAGAAATTAATCCATAATTAACAATTAATAAAAAGATTATAGTAATGACAGCAGCCAAATAATAGAACTTAGATATCGAATCACGTATGTAATCAATCTTAAAGATTACCCAATAATTAATGTATCTTTTTTTGAAAATCTGCAACTAAGTAGAAAAAAACCATAAATAAAATAATGGAATTGCCATCGTTATAAATAGTAAATAAGTTGAATAGTCCTCTGAAATGCTCAAATAATTAAGATCGATTCTTTAATAAATAAAGGATAACATAAGAAAAAGTATTATCCCTCCAAGAAATCCAATATATTAGAGTTTATGTTGTATCGCATGTGATTGTTTCAGCTTTGCTAATTCATTACCATCCCATCCATTTATTAAATATAATGCTTTGATATTCTTTATTATCTTATTCAATGACGTATCATTAACAAATTATAAACTCTTAAAGAAATGATTCATGTGACTTTCTGAATTATCAATAAAGCTTGTATATTGATGATAAAGTGATAAAATTCGATTGGAAGCTTCAATATTAGAATTTTTGAATGACTTTAGCAGTTGCCCTTTTTTATAGAGAATTTCCAAGTTTTTTATTCTTCCTATGTCATCCTCAGAGTCTATCAATGTTTCATATTGATACTACAATATTTTAACTTGAATCATATAAAATTAATTGCATTTATTCGTTTCGTCTTAAAACAATTGTATAAATTCTTCGTCTAAGATTTATAACTTAGTTTATATTTCTTATGGAATATTAGCATCTAAATTTTAATCTTTAATAAGTTTAATTGTTAAATTGAGGATTGGCAGAGAATTAGTTACTCTTTTAAATGGGTCTAATACTTCCTTTAAGAATTGGTAATTCAAATAAGCATTTGACCATTCTGGAACTTAATGAGATACAAAATGCTGCATAAAACTCATTGAATTTAATTATTTTATACTTAATTATAATTTTTGGTATTCAATTTTCTGTAAACTCTTTTAGATATTATTCTTAATTGATTTACTTAATTCTAGACTGTTTATGAATTCTATTAGAAATTGTGCTCTCCTCTGATCTTATCTATGAAATCAAGTGGTAAGTTCATAAAATAAAATAAAAATATAATGTCTAATTTCAAATAACTTTGTCCTTTCTTAACTTTGTAGCAATAAGTTCAAACAAACAGAGCTCCTCTTCTAGACTTTCTTCAGCATTAATATTCCTATCTTCTTTTTCCTTCAATTCAAGCAAGTGCATTTATTTTGGATCCAATGAACTGCCATCCTCAAATCGAACTAAAATATTCTTCTTTCTGATGTAAGGCTTTTAATGTTCTCTCAGCAAATACCTAGCAAACTCTGTCATCAATTTAGAAGACTTTCTTAAGATTTCATAGTTGAATAGATTACTTGTTCACAAACGCATACTAATATATTGAATAAGCACGTTTTATTTAATAAGCATGAAGTTTGGTTTTCTTCATAATTTCAAACAACTTATCTTTAGGCATATCTCCAATTTCTTATATTGAATTGATAATCTATTATAGTTTTGTTTAATACCTTATTAGGGAGTATATCTTTAAAATGCTCATGTAAGATTTTCGAGTCAGTTATATCTCTCATCACTTAAAAANATAAATAAAGGATAACATAAGAAAAAGTATTATCCCTCCAAGAAATCCAATATATTAGAGTTTATGTTGTATCGCATGTGATTGTTTCAGCTTTGCTAATTCATTACCATCCCATCCATTTATTAAATATAATGCTTTGATATTCTTTATTATCTTATTCAATGACGTATCATTAACAAATTATAAACTCTTAAAGAAATGATTCATGTGACTTTCTGAATTATCAATAAAGCTTGTATATTGATGATAAAGTGATAAAATTCGATTGGAAGCTTCAATATTAGAATTTTTGAATGACTTTAGCAGTTGCCCTTTTTTATAGAGAATTTCCAAGTTTTTTATTCTTCCTATGTCATCCTCAGAGTCTATCAATGTTTCATATTGATACTACAATATTTTAACTTGAATCATATAAAATTAATTGCATTTATTCGTTTCGTCTTAAAACAATTGTATAAATTCTTCGTCTAAGATTTATAACTTAGTTTATATTTCTTATGGAATATTAGCATCTAAATTTTAATCTTTAATAAGTTTAATTGTTAAATTGAGGATTGGCAGAGAATTAGTTACTCTTTTAAATGGGTCTAATACTTCCTTTAAGAATTGGTAATTCAAATAAGCATTTGACCATTCTGGAACTTAATGAGATACAAAATGCTGCATAAAACTCATTGAATTTAATTATTTTATACTTAATTATAATTTTTGGTATTCAATTTTCTGTAAACTCTTTTAGATATTATTCTTAATTGATTTACTTAATTCTAGACTGTTTATGAATTCTATTAGAAATTGTGCTCTCCTCTGATCTTATCTATGAAATCAAGTGGTAAGTTCATAAAATAAAATAAAAATATAATGTCTAATTTCAAATAACTTTGTCCTTTCTTAACTTTGTAGCAATAAGTTCAAACAAACAGAGCTCCTCTTCTAGACTTTCTTCAGCATTAATATTCCTATCTTCTTTTTCCTTCAATTCAAGCAAGTGCATTTATTTTGGATCCAATGAACTGCCATCCTCAAATCGAACTAAAATATTCTTCTTTCTGATGTAAGGCTTTTAATGTTCTCTCAGCAAATACCTAGCAAACTCTGTCATCAATTTAGAAGACTTTCTTAAGATTTCATAGTTGAATAGATTACTTGTTCACAAACGCATACTAATATATTGAATAAGCACGTTTTATTTAATAAGCATGAAGTTTGGTTTTCTTCATAATTTCAAACAACTTATCTTTAGGCATATCTCCAATTTCTTATATTGAATTGATAATCTATTATAGTTTTGTTTAATACCTTATTAGGGAGTATATCTTTAAAATGCTCATGTAAGATTTTCGAGTCAGTTATATCTCTCATCACTTAAAAATCTTCAGAAGGATCTTCAAGTGTAATTTATAAGCACTTCTCATCCTCCAAACCCAATTTATAAACAGTCTTTAGCATTTTACTCCCATGACCTTTCCTCTGGTATTATGGCAAGAATAGCATTTGACTCAAACGATGTCTCTGCTTATTCCATCCAATATTAAACTTAAATACGGTAGTCAACCCGACAAATTGGCGTTTTTCATACAATGTTAAATACACCCATTCATTTTCATCCCCTGGATATTGAACTCCATCAATTAAAACTAAAAGAAATGCTTATAAAAAAGGCTTGAATTAGACAAACCCTTTTGTTGTTGCCATTTGACATTTGTATATTCTGAAATCTCCATATTCTTCAATTAAGTCTCCTAAAGGCTCCTAATTTTCTTCTTCTTCAAGGGCTTAAAGAAACTACTCTTCACTAGAAAGGAAACCAGCCTCATACACTTTATTAAAGCTCTCATATAAGTCATCTGCATCTTCAGTCTGCTCGCTATAGGATATCTATAGTAAGGTATTTTGAATGGGTTTACTTTAATGTAAGGCTTCAATCCAAGTGCTGTGACATGAATGGTAATCTTAAGATCTTTGTATCCATATATTTCATTTGTTGATCTAAACACCTGATGAACATAACTGGGTTGAAATTTCAGCCCTTGATCTGCCTTATATTACTCCACTGTTCCCACTAGAATATATGTGATTGCTAAAGAGCCATTAGTAATAAATGGATCATCCACTCTTTAGACTTCTGGTGGTTTCTCAAGGTATTTGAGAGCATTCATTCTTAAATATTAGCCTTGCTCTTCGTCAAATAGGTTTGCCATCCAATATATTATTATTTTGGCGCCAATAAAAATAATAATAAACTAGTGATAAAGAGAATGTGATTTGCATTTATTATGTTTAAACTTTAAATCAACTGAAAAATATTTGTTTATTTGAATTAGCCATTGAGATTGTAACAGAATTCGAATCAAATAATAAATATTTATTAAATACTGATAATCTGTAAATACATTTTATAAGTAGTTGTAGACAGTATTCAATTCATCAATATAACTTATTCAAGCCAAGGATTTATTTAAATTGGGAATTGATCATTTGATTTCTTAATTCCCAATTATATTCATTAATATTAAATTGTTAATGGAGAAATTAGGCAACCTATTTGAATTCTTTGTGACTACAGGGATTAAAACTAATGATTAAGGTAATCACAAACAATTAATCTATTTGTAGATGTGATACTTTAATCATGTACTACTGCAAATAAGAAGGATCTTGCAATACTTACAATATTTCCAAATCCAGTGGAACGTAAGATGAATCATGTTCTAGCGGACATAGCTTTGGTAATAGTTATTGAAATTATAATCTTTTAGTGGTGCTTTCCTTTGGGAGTAAAAACAATCAAAGAAGGAGATAGCAAATTTAATAAAATAGAAGAGTATTTTAAAGAGGATGACGCTTAGGCATCTACAAATGAGATCAATTACTTTGTTATCAATGATTTCAAATAGCACATCAAGTTTTATTGTACATCCGCTTGCTTCTATGAGAAGATGTTCATAATCATGCCTCCGAACGATAAATTAATGTAAGTCTTTGTGCCTAAGGCCTTCTGCGTAATATCTCGTTTTCCTGCATTCATCCCCCAAAGAAGTTTTGTAATGCAATTGCTCAAAATCCAGAAGCTTCGCCTATCATAAAACAGAGAAAGAGATAAAATAATAACTATCAAGAGAGGGCAATAGGAATATTAGATTGAAGAAATCAAACTCTACGATTTCTATATTCGAACAGCACTGACACAATGTCCATTAGTATAAGATAAGTATTTATATATCAATAAATAGCAAGCGTAGAGTATAGGTTAAAGTTCAGCAGTTCCGAGATTTGGATGAACTACTACGTCTCCAACTCCCATCTAACAACTCACTTTTCCATATTTAAGTTGTCAAATAACCTTTTCGATGTTTTAATTTTCAATTAGCCCATCTTTAATTTGTACAAGTTACTATTGTACATGATGCTTGAGTATCAAATCATCATTGTGTCTCGTAAACCTGCTGGAATAACATTGTTTTGCCAATCATTAGTCGAGTTACTTGCTCCTTTGTAATGGCGTGGTCTCTTTATTCCATTTTTAAGACCTGGATCATTCGATTTCCATAAATCCCAACTCCCCTATATAATTGGTCTAGATAGAAATCTCTATGAAATAGTAAATAAACTCATTTAATTTAGTCTGAAAAACCATTGCCAAAGGAATTAAAAAGAGTGATTTATGATATTGATGATGGACGCATTCTATCCAGGTCAGATGATCCAAAATGTCCCAAACAATATCAAAATTACTTCATTCGAAAAATGAACACTGTATTTGCAGATCTTAAATTTTATGAGAATGTAATTAAATCTAATAACATAGGAAATTTTTGAAGAAGGGATAATGAAATATCGATAAGCATTTTATAATGTTAAATTACTCATGTTAAATGATATCTATAAGTACTTTAGTACTGATACATCAAACCAGAAATCAGAGAAAAAGATTGTTATGTTTGATTATAAGAAATTTCTAAATTCTTTTGAAAGTCAAGATTAACTCTTTTTCTTGCAATTTCTTAAAACTTTATCATTTCAATAATTTGTAAAAGATCTCTATAAAGTTATGGAATATAGAGAGGAGTTCATTAAAAACAATATTCAAAATGTAGAGTACTATTTTAGTTGTGTACTTCAATTCTTTGATGATGTTAGATTTCTCAGTATTCGCTTTGGAGAACAAACTCTTGATGATAAATTGGTCATCTTAGAAAATTTACAGAATAATTAAATCAAAGCAGTTCTTGAAAGGAAAAACGAATCCAGCAATTATAAAGTTATAGAAATGAAAACAACTGATTTCATTCCTGAATATTTGGAACATCTTAAAAATAGTAGTCTCAATCTTAGTATGGAAATGCAAGCCTTAGCCAAATTCATTTAAACAGTTCCACAATAAGAAGAAATAGTAGTTGAATAACAACAAAAAATAGTGTAACAAGGTGGACCAGATATGAATCAATCAGAAGAATAGGATAATATCTCTTAAGAATCCTCTAAAATTCAGTCAGACAAATCAGATCAACATAGTTAATTTCATCATTCATTACCTCCATAAGAAAAGGTTAATTGGGAATTGCAAACCATAGCTGTAAGTAATGCCTCAGAATATAGAAAATAATATTAAATTAAACATCTAAATCTTATTAGTAAGAGGAATACTTTTAGAAAGAAGAATCTACTAGAAAATGAAGAAGAGGAAGAACAAATGCAATTGAATCAAAATACAAATACCAATAACTTTATTGTTACTAATATTGCTGACAAAAATATGCTTAGTTTACCTGTTAAGGATAATTAATCCATGGCCGCAAGATCCTATTTCAACAAGAGTATGGTCCCATTAATTGGAGATTATGGAAACGCAGAAATTATGGTGCCTAATTAAGATAACATGATTTGAATATAATTTATAATATACCAATAAAATATGCTATAAAAATTCTTTCTAATGTACGAATTTAGGTAAATACATAAAACTAAATCACTCATAATTAAAAGAAACATTCATATACATCTTAGTCAGTCAATTCTTCTATTTACTGAATTCCGTCATCACTTTCCATTTCTTCCTATGTAGCATATACTTGGACACTAATTGAACCTTGCAATATCAAATTTTGACATTCTCTTAACTTTTAAGGGAAGGCTTCATCTAAATATTTTATTACATCTTGGATTTCTGTAAAAGCATAATTTTTATTCACTATTTTATCCCAAACAAATTACCCTTCTTCTTAAAGAGTCTTAAATTTGATTTCATTTGATAATTTGATTATTGTTTGAGACTTTTAATCTAAGATTTCTTCATCCAACAACTTATTTAAATAAATGTTAGCTTATTTTAAAAATTGATCTATCTATTCCTTTCCTTTTTTAGGAGTAGCTCCCTAAAGATAGATTTAGAGACCATCAGCACATCCTAATGGTTTTCTTTTAATAGTGACCTATTATCCCATAGGGAAATAATTATTAGCATATAATTGAAGGAAGTCAGCATAGAAATACAATTTAGCAGTGTTTTCCAAATTCTTCAAACCAGTTTAATAGTAATTTAGGACTGAAGACATAGTATCTATGTTTGATTCCCTTTTAACTTTGTATTTTAGAGTCTATCCCTTTAAATTCAATGTTCTAGTAATATACATTTCCTATGAATCTTCAAATACACTATCACTGGGTAGAATATTTCCCAAATTGAGAATTTAAATTTTACTAGCTAATAATTATGCTTGGAACATTTAGAAACTTTGATAATCAATTTTTATTAATTCATCTAATATTTCTTAAGGAGAACTGACAGGTCTAAGCATGATCTTAGGTAAATAGTATTGTTAAGTGAGCAATGATAATTTTTGATCATGAAATCTTTTAATATCTTAGCTTAGCAAATCTTTTACATAAATAAACAATTGTTCATCATCAGTACTCATTAGATCAAACACTTTATCCTAAAATTCTGATTGCTTCTCAGAATAACTCAACATTTGTACATTAAGTCCATTTATTGTTTCTTTAAATGTTAGTTCATATCCAAACAGAATTTCTTATTAGAATTACTTCTTTGATAATTCAGTATAAAACTTTTACAATAATTTTAGCATTGTTTTACCTTCTACCAAAGTAGATTCTGGTTTTTCTATAAACAACCCTGTAAACACCATAGCACCTAATCTACTCGGTTTCCACCAAACATTACTTGAAATTTAAAATGGAACCAAGGAGATTTGAGCAGCTTTTTCTTACTCAGAGCAATTATTCATAAAATTAGGCAGAGGAAACTCGCACTTAAATTCAATAGTTTCAAACTTAATTAGTTATGACCCATCATATTTTCCATCTTTAACAGAATTAATTAGATCATCTATTTAAGATTTACTTTACTCTTGAGTAATATATTAAGTTGGTGCCTAACAAACCGATACTAATGCCAAATTCTCTGGTAAAAATGTGCTTAATGAAGGCAATTAAAATTAATATTGATTTGTTTCATCAAATTATTTAGTGACAAGTTTTAAATCATATTGAAATTCTTAATGAAGTTTATTTAGGACTGCATCCACAATAAATATAGAATCGTCATTTATTGATTTGTGATTTGGATCAAATTAAAAGTTATCACTACCTATCAAGATGATGAAGTTGTTCTATAGATTTGTTAAATATTAATCAAATTCATCTTTATCGAAAATAGGGAAACTCTCTTCACCTTTTAATCCATAAATTGGATCTTTGAATAAATTCTAACCAATTTTTATTAAATCTTCCTGATATTTTGTATTAAACAACAATTCTTCAGTAGCCAACATTTGGGAATACAAGTATGTTAATTAGGTTTCATCTGCTGATTGTAGAAAGCTGAGAAATGAAATAAATTTGTTAATAGTATTTAAAGCATTACTGACCTCTATGTCTAATGTGATAGATAACTAATTTTCTTGGATAGACCCTGTAAATGGTTTTGGTAATAAATACGATAAAAATCTTTGACAACTCAATTCATCACTTATTGAGAGTAATTGTAGTAGATCTGTATCGCTCTTGAATTTAAGAATTTGTCTGCCTTATGGATAATTATTTTCATAGGTTGGATCATGATACTTGTGCAAATTCTTCAATTTCATTAAATCAGATGTTAACAGTCTGGATTAAATAGTCTCATACTCCTCTTGACTTTTGAATACAAAACTAATAGAATCCGAAGAGATATGTTCAGTATAAAATTAGTATATGTAATCTTATTCAACAGATAGAATGGATAATTCTTTTAAGTTAGCTAATGAGTTTAAAAATTGAGACACGTATTGGAAATGAGCAGACTTAGAATCATTCATCATTTTTTCATAGAGTTCCTTAGCATTTTTAACTATATCAACAAACATAGGTTAAGTGAATATAATATATAGCTCCTTTAATTTTGCATTTAATTCTTCCAATAGGTTTAATTAGACTTTTAGAAAAGTGAATTATTCATGAACTTCAACCTAGAAATTGGTTTATAGACATCTGAACATTAGTTCAGTTAATCCAGGATATTCCTATGGGTCATTGATACTGCCAATATTGATGGATACCACCAAATTAATACCTTCAGTTGGAGATTAGATGTATAAAATCTTTAATCCGTTTTGTAATTCTTTATATGTATAAATATTCTTTGAAAAGACAGGCTTAATTATTGATATTTCAGCTTCTTGTGATATGATCAATTCTTCTAAGTCATCCACAATATTTAACTATTATTCCAACTATTGCTCCAATTAAGCTTATTTGTTTATAGTATCATTTTCCTTTTTGTTAATTTGGATATCATCATCATCAATCCAATCTGTACGTATGTCATTATATTACTCGATTTTTGATAAATAATTATCTAGTACTTCATCTAAAGTTTATTCATCTTCTTTCGGAATTTACTTTTCAACCTTCTCTTGACCTAAATTTTATAGCCCTTCACTTATTTTATTGAAAACATCTTAAACAACGGATTCTTTTGGGCGAACTAATTATGGAGTAACACGTACATTATTTTCTATTGGTTTACTAGGAATCACAACTAATGCATAGAACCATCATTCATTACCATTGTAATGTTTTAATAATCCAAATCCAGATAATCCAATCATTAATAAAAGTATCAGAATCACAATGGCATCAAATTTAGATGGACCTGATTGATCTGGCTTTTGTTTTTGATTATCATATTCTTCCCAATTTGAACTAGAAGAGAATCTTTGGACTTGAGGTTGATATTATTCTTGTGCATTCTCCCCGGCTATTAAATTTTAACCTTCCTCATCTTATTAAGGTATTTAATTCATTTAATAATTAAAAAAAATAAGAGTAAATGTTTATAATTAAATTCCTAAAAACCATCAAGTCTTGTTTAGAATAGTTAAACTTTGAAAATTTGATATTTTTAGACAAGAATATTGATATGTAGAACCATCTAAGATTATTATTCCATTCTGCTGATCTAAATTTATATAAGAATTTTATCTTTATTTTTTTCTATATCTATATATATTTATCATTCTCAGGTTAATTGAATGATTTTAGCAGTGCGATCACTGCTTGTTGTTACAATTTGATTACCATTGACAGAGACACTCATAATGGAATTAGCATGTAGTTGATGTTTTGCAAAATTCTTCTAATTTTCTTAAATCATTAACTATCCAGTTGTTGTCCCCAATACCAATTTACTTTTGAATGCACCAATACAGCTAATCTCACTATCGAAGGTAGAGATTGAGACAATTTAATCTTGGAAAAATAGCTTTAGTTCCTTCTATGATACACAGTATATTTTCTTGTTCATTATTTAAATTTTGGAGATTTCATTTGAAAATACTATGATCTAATATAAATGTATACTTCCTACACGTTTTTTAAGCTTCAATTTATAAGTTATGAAATTCAAATATCCATCCTTATCTCCTAGCCAAATGCCATCATCAGCAGCCATTACACTTGTAATGCTGCTGAGGTGTTCATATTTGGATTTCTACTACGTCAGCATATTCCAAAGACACAAAAATCGTTATTATTAAATAGTATTATGCATGAATAGACAAGTTTTCAAATAAAAGTCGCAAACAAAATAGGGACTATCTTATTAATCTATCTATTCGATTTTTCTATCTTCATTAATTTGTAATAAATGATTTTTGCTGGTAATGCACAAATATTTATCGCCTGTGATCTTAAGAAGACCTTTATAATCAATTGATTCTTTACCTACACAAAAAGTATTGATTTTAACATCCTCTGCGTTTTTTCTTTTGAATAGTACATTACCACCCCATTAAGCAATCACTAGTTCGTTTTGATTGCAAGCTCCTCCTATCAATTACTTTGAATTGCTATAGGTTTCGATGATTTCCATTTGATAATAAATATATCCATTTGCTACATAAACGCACACTTTATAACAATATTATTAATCCGTATTAAAAAGTGCTTGATAAAATAGACAAGATGCATTCAATTACAAATTCATCTAAGGCTCATGAATCACAATATTATTAATCAAAATTTAAATTTAATTAACCAATAGAATTAAAGAGCATTCAATCCAATAACAAGTGCTATACATTGTAAAATATGCTTGAAGTTTAATTATGATGTAAATATATAGATTAAAACAAACATATATATGCTTATCATTTCTAATTTTTAATGAATTGCAAATACCCTTTATTGTTTTAACTTAACAAGTATTTAATTTTCCTAATTAAACCTAGGTTGGCTAAATTATTCTTTAACTTATTTCTGTATTCTCTCTATTTGGTATAATAATGTCAATACTTGTTATCCTTCCATATCGGATTATAGTTGTTCTTGTTCTGTCTACAATTACGTAATCTTTTTCTTCAAATCACTTTGTTAATTAGTTAAGTTCTCTAAATCAATTGAGGATCTTTCGAATATTTATTTGATTTAATCACACTATTTTAATTTAAATTATGACAATACTTCAGCTGATCTTTTATCAACATCTTTTTTAAGCTCATTCCTTTCAATATTGAACAATTCTTATCTCTCGTTGCTTACAGCCTCAATTTCTTCTGAACTTGATTCCAAGGCAAGCAATAAGGTTTTTAATAATTAAGGAACCTCTTCAATCAAATGAGCATTTTCAGGAGCCAATAATGGCTTTAATGAAACTTGGAACATTAGATGTAAATATACATAATACTAGGGTGTAGGGGTTATCAATAACAACAGTATCTAAATCGTTTCTGATATCATTGCACATTGATTTAAACTTATTCAATTCATCATTCTATTTGTTATTAGCTAAAAAGGCTGGTGACTCACTCAAATCTGGTTTTTTGGCCAAGAAATGAGCTAAACCTTAAAAGTGTTATAAAAATGAGTTTATGACTTTGGAAGTTTAGTTTATTTCCTTTTTTAAATTTTAGAGTTTATCAATCTAACAAATAATTAATATGAAACATACTTCATCATTACGAATAGCTTGCATCTGAGGAACAAATTTATTCTCTTCTGTTAATAATCTCTTTCTTTCTTCGAATATTTTTTCTGAAAATTCTTTTTCCTTAGTGACAATTGTAAGTTCTTCACCAACATTCTACAATTAATATTTTGATAAAAAGATCTTTTATTTCAATGCTTATTTCCTCTCAATGTCTTCATTATAAATTTTGAAAATTGATACTTCGTGTATAGACAGTCTAATACTCCTTCATTGTCTTTTCACTATCCATCACAAGCTCAGATTCAAAATGATTTAGATTAATTATCAAATCGACAGGATCTTGATAATTATTTATATAATTACTTTAACTAGATTTCAGAACTAGCTATTATTCTTTTAATACTTTTTTCCCATAATCGCTTTGAGTCAGGAATTCGAAATCTTTCACAGAATCAGTCGCAAATGTGTATATGCACAAATATGTTAACAATACAATTCGTTTCATCCGTTTTTAATTTATATTTCATTAATATAATCAGAAATTATCTGCATTCAAAATATTTGATTCCAACTAATATCAACCCTCATAAGATCAATATATTGCAATCTTAATCCCAAAGGCAGAATACAAAACTGTCAATACAATAATAACCGGCAATTCTCATTAAAAAATATAAAAAGTAAATGAGGAAAATTCATTTTATAAACACTCCATTTTCCCAATATCCCTCTATTATTTTATCTCTCGTTTCCAATTTCCCATACCCATGATACACTCCATCATACCATTCTCCAGTATACACCTTATCCGAAGAAGTAAACTTTCCAAATCCTTGCTTTCTCCCCATATAGTAATTTCCCTCATACATTTTCCCATTTGGCCAAACCAATTTTCCATAGCCATGCATCTTTCCATCCTTGAATTCCCCTTCATATGTCTCGCCATCTCCAAAATAGTATATACCCTATCCACTGATTTGATTGTCAGCAAACTCTCCCTCATACCTGGAATCATCCTTATACCATAGGATCTTCCCTTTCCCGTGCTTCATTCCATTTTAAAAGTCGCCTTCGTAAATATAATATTTGTTATAAATCTCAATTCCATGTCCAGAAGGTAGATTTTCCTTCCATTATCCTTCATATTTCAATTAATTTGATATGTACCTGCCAAAACCGTGTTGTTAATCATTTTTAAACTCTCCTTCGTATTGTTCACCCTCTTAAAACTTGATTTTACCAAAACCATCTGCCATGTCATTTTTCCAACTTCCTTTAAAAGATGAACCATCATGATAAAAAAATTAACCTTATCCTTCCCTTTTGCCATCGACTAATGTACCCTAATAAACACCGTTTGGGTATTCAAAATATTCAGAGACCAAATTTGTAGGGGATTGAGCTTGTGAGTCAGGGATACTTTCATAATTCAAGGTTCTTTTGCGATGTAATTTAACATTGAAAGGGACTTTTTTGACTGTATCATGAAATTGGGATTTTGTACTGTTTAATGAATCAAGAGATTGGAGCTTTCCCAGATCAGAGATATTTGGAGAAGGGAATTTGGAATCAAACTTGTAGACAAAGAATGAGTCAGAATCACCTTCAATTTGTACAGATTTGAACTCATCCTCAGTGATTTCAACATGGTTACATTAATTTCCCATTATAAAAATAATATCAAATTTTAAACTGATCTTCTTATTCATTTGGTTCATCTTCATCCTCCATGTATTCGTCATCCATAAAAGAACTTAAGTAGGAAGAAGCAGTGAACTAAATATGTTTAAAAAGATTACTGAAGGAGTTTAGTCCATTGATAAAGGTTACTTAATGGATTCACTATCTTGGGACAATGTATTCTCAATGCCGCTGACGTCCCCATTATTTAAAACGACTGAATATGGGTTCTACTGACCCAAAAAGACTCTTCTTATGTAAGAATAAAATCTGTTTTTAACAGTATTTTCCTATTTAATAAAAATAAATGATTACTGGTCTTCCCTTCAATTATTTTGAAGCAATACTCCACTTAGCTCCATGTTCTTTGAAAACTTTCAATATAATATCATCTTCTTCTTTGGTCCAAGGAGCTGTTATGATTGATGGATCTAATTTATTTAGATACCTTTCCCTTATTTGTTTTCCACTTTTACCTGGTAAATGTTTTGCTATTTCCGCCCAATTTTTATCGTACTGTTTGACAAGTTAGATAATTTTTTAATCATCTTCAAATTCCCATTTCTTCTTATTATTCTTAAAATATAAAATAAGATACGTACCTCTTAAGGATTCAATCTTCTCCATCTTTATGAACACTAATTCATATTTCTTCCTGGTAACTGTTCTGCTATCTTTCTCCAATTTCCATTAAAGCTTATGTAGGCCTGTCTCAAGATAGCATCCTCGTTCTTATCCCAAAGTTTTGCGTGAGTGACTTCTTTTCTTGATGAGTTATCATTGGCTGATCCTTTATGTACTTTCTCCTTCTGATGCTTTTTATCTTTTGTGATTCGTTTTTTCTCAATTTTTCCAGTTTCAAGTGATATTTGGCTTTGTGATCTAATGATGAATAGGGATTTATTACTTTATCATTGATTTTTTTGGGTACTCCTCTATTACATCCAATTATGCAGTTTAAGCAAGATTTTGAATATTTTACCTAATGTATTCGTAATGATATCTTACTATGGGTAGGGTCCAGACATAATCTATTAATCAGACGCCGGCTAACTTCCTGGATTACTTCCTTAATACGGACCGTTGTTAGAGGATACAGACTTAGCTAAGATTGAGAACTGTGCTAGTTATCCTAAAACATCATTTTATCTTGAGAGTTCCAACGCTTCCCAGCTAGCCATCTTATTGGATTTATTATCGGATAATGAGAGAAATCCTTCAACAGGTTCCACTCTTAATAGTAATTGTAAATATACCTTCCATTTCAATTGATGTTTTTACTGCCCCTTTATTTATCATATTCTGGAAGTGGTTCTGCTATTGCGGTTACTACTATTGCTGCCGTTTCTCCTAAGCTTCCTATAACTTCTGCTTTAACTCCTAAGATGTAGACTGCAGAGCTTTCTGCTCAACAGGAGATGGTGCATATGCTTACCCCGTATCGAGGATTGGCTTATTGGAATCCTCTTTTACACTTATAGGTTGATCTTGTGCTTCCTGCTTCGGCTTTCTTGCACAACAGAAATTTAACCATAAGTCGACAAACATTTCTTTTCGTCAGATAAAAATATTTAATAAATTTTGTAATTCAACTCAATCACCACCTACTTCATGTCCATCCAACCCAATATGCTCCTTGTTTATCAAAAATTCATAAAATATTTTCAAAAATAAGTCATTAAAATTCTCAATTAGACTATATTATTTTTCATTAAATATATCTATAATTCATTATTTTCAACATATTAACTGTGTGATTACAAACTTTGTTATTCTATCTGTGAAATCTCATGACAAATTGTGTTTAATTCCAGCACATTTATATACCAATTAAATCTGATGTATTAAATTCGTTTCAAATCTAGAAATGAACACAAATTACATTTTAATTAAAATAGAAAAGACTTAAAATTCCATATTCATGGCCACTCATCACATATGCAAATTCAGACTAACCAAAACTATTCACAAAGACCAAATCAAATCACTTAAACAATAACTCCTTGATAAAACCCCACAAGAGTCCTAATCGAACAATTCACAATATGTGCTAACTAATCTCACTCACCAATTCCAAAAACTCAATTCTCAAAATCTTAATACTAATTCCATCTTTGACGAAATCAAACAACAAAAACCACTCAAGTACAATAAACACGCAACACTAACTTCACAAAACTTTGATTAATCATTAACTACAATTCTTCGAAAGTTACAATAATCGATTCCTAAGCAAAATGAAATAAAAAATAAGACTTAGAATTATAGAAAAGAAGTCTAACCCATAAACAATACTATTTAAACCAATGAAGGAACAATTAAAGTGGATTACTAATTTTGATTTCAAATTCTTTTCATTATTTACATTTATTTTCCATTCATATAAAATTTTAAATACATTACTTAAATAATGAGTCAATAATCTTCATTCATTGGGTATCTAAAACCTTAATCTTCCCATTTGATTTGAGAATCAGCATATACTCCTTATTTTATATAAGACGTTTGACTAATAGAATTGAAAAACTGCTTGATTACACATTTTGCATTTTCTATCAAAAATTTTTAGTAAACGCAAATGTGCAATTAATATATTAAGAAAAGACTATAATATTTATGATAATAAGATTTATTACACGGATAATATCTCAAACTTAACTGTTAATGGCTTACTAATTTAGATTAAAAATTATATTTTACTATGAGATCATCGGCTATTTCTTTGTTTAATTTAAAAAATTAAGAAAACTTTTGAACAATGTCCCTAACTAAATCTGGCGATAGCTTAAACATCAACATGTGTTATGCTACTTAAGTCAATATACTTAAAATGCTTGTATTAATGTTTTCTTTCGTTCCTTTTTTTATCTTAGATATTTAATTGATAATAACAGCCTCCCAATAATCACGATGCTACCATATTTGATGATTCACAAGCATGTCTTACATATATCTTGTTTGAATATCCTTAGTAAATAGTCCAAAACTAAACTAAAGTAACTACTAAGCCAAAATGGCATGTTTATTTTCATAACACTAAATAATCAATAATATCATTACAAAATCCAAAATTCCAATCGAAATATTAGTGCACTGTATAAACTCTTGGAGAGTTAGTTGAAATGAACTAGAATTGAACTTTTGGGATAGGTAATTCAAAAACTCTTCTTGTTTCTGAGGCGATTCTTATATTTCTTTCGTTTCTTATTCAATTTGCTCTTCCGTTTTTTCTAACCCAATAGGATATATATTAGTTGTGTATATTTATTATTAGCCCTAACTATCAAGTAATTTAGTTAGAAAAGAGTCTAAGTCAATAGGATTACTTTCTTATTACTTTGTCTTTTTTATGAAATCCTCTATAAATAAGTTTTAATCTTGATCATGAAGTCTCTGAATTAATAATATTCAAAATTACATCAGACATCTTCTCTAAATCATATAAGTGATTTTTCGCAATAGAAGACTCATAGACAAATATTTTTAGTATGCAATCCTTAACTGCATTGAGTCTCTATAAGTTTAATTGTTAGAGTTGATCTAGGGTCGCCTCTGCTTCTTGCTCTTTCAACAACAGTTCCATTTCCTATTTCAATTCTAAGTAGTTCCCCTTTGCTTATTGATACTCTTTCTTACATGCAGCAGCCCTAACAATCGAATCTAATAATACTTGTTTTTCTATTTTTCTAGTTTCTCTGGTTGGCAGGCTGAATATGCAAGTTCCAAAGTTCCCTCGATTTCATATTCTCTCTTCTTATTTTTGAGGTATCCTTCTGCTGCTTTAAGATTTGATCTTATCGATTATAATTGACTATCCCACAATTTGACATAATCTAAATACTAGGTTGCTTTCTATTAAACTATTAATTGTTTCATTATATCTATTTCTCCCTTTATTTCCTCAGCAAATTGAGATGATAATTATGCCCTGATTCCAAAAGAAGCACTGAAGAATTCATTGATCGGAGCCAATTTTGTTGCCAATTTTTCAATTGCTTTCGAATACTTCATTTCAATTTCATATCGATCTTAGAGACATTCACAGATTATGCCGGTCTATTACCATCCCAAATTAGTGTTAGATATAACTGCAGATGCCTTGTTTTTCAAGTCTTAGCTATAAAGCATATGAGAAATTTAATAATTAATTAAATAAATTAATTCAATATAGAAATCCATATTAAAAAACTTATAAATTAAAACTTTGCATTTCTAATAATTACCAAGAGTAGGAATGATAAAGATTTGCGTGTGAAAAATATTAATAAATTTAATATCAATTGAAAGTTTGTGATCTTTTAGCATTATCTTCCCTTAAATTTTCTTCGCTTTATTGAACAAGATCAATCCTTTCAGATAAATAATTTGTAAATAATTATTGAAACTAAAATGCTTATTCTTGTTTATTTATTAGCTATTTCAACAAATCTAATAGTAATATGTGATTATTATCATCCTTAGCCTCTTACAAATCAATTTAGTCATTAATAATGGATTAGTAGTGTTAAGTTGTTAATTTAACTGAATTAGTTAGACTTCTAATTTAATCAAGTTATTTGATATTTTTGGACATTCCTTATAGGCCATTGTACACTTCACAATTGAATTTAACGAGAAGGCAACAATTCTTTTACAAACTATCCCTTAACAACTTTGTTTATCCAATAATATTGAAAATAAGTGTGTTGAGTTCTTCATTGATCATTTTCTAATCACCATCACTCAAATTTTAAATCACTTAATTTTTATTATCGTTTATTTCCTTTTTCTATTGTTTTTTTTATTTAAATTTCTTAAACTCATTAGAGATCACTTGTAAGTGTTTTTCATGATCTTTTGTTTCTCTATCTCTTTCAGATTCTTCATCTTTCTCTATTTCTGTTTTACCATCAAATCTATTTATTAAATCAATGATTGAATTTTAAAATTCCTATATAAATTCTCGTAATTTATTAATCAAAAGGGTAATCAATAAATTTTCTGTTTCGAAATTCCTCTCAGACAATATAATCTTCTCAAACTCTTCAGGATTAGTATTTCCCAAAACAAAGGTTTCGAAATTAGTGATCATTTCTTAATTTTGTTATATTTCTTAATCCTTCTCTTCGATTTCCTTTTCAGCCTAATCAATTTATTATTTTAAGTCTCTGATCTTTTATTTCCTCTACTCTTGTAAATCATCTGAGTTTTAATTAAAATAAGTATCCTTATATAATTCTGCATGTCCCAAATCAAAATTAGTGTGATCGTTACTTTTTGAAGAATTGTATTCCCTTTGATTTTATGATAAGCTAGTATTAAATTGATTCTAATTTAAAGAATCCTCTTAATTTTGGATTTTGCTTTGAGAAAGAAAGTAACTTTCTTTTTATGAATCAATTTTTTTTTTAGAAGAAAATGTTACATTCTGACGCTCATCTCCTTATTTATCTTCGTGTTTCTGCGATTTCAAAAGGTTTTCCTCCTCCTCGGAGTCTTTGTTTTGTTCGGAATGGTCAATCAATTTAATGGATTATTTTTTTTGGTTTGATTCAGGCTGATTATTAATTAAGTCATTTGTCAGTTCTGAATCTTATTAATTTTTGCTTAGGGTTCCCTCTTCATTTTGTTAGGAGTTCGAATTCATCTATTGATCTTCAGTCTACTCGATGTCCTTATCCATTTTTTCGTTTTATTAAGAAAAATTATTAATTTATGGTTAAAAAACATTTTTAGCTTATTATTATATTTATTCCATTTCTTCACCATTGCAGTTTAAGTTAAGCAATACTGCCTTTTATTCTATTTTTGGACTATTCTCTACTTCAATTATTTCTTTATTACAAAATCCTTAATCTACTTCACATTAAGTTACTTCTTTATGTTCCTCTTAATTATTCTCGCATTGCAGCTTAATTTACTCTAGTTGCAGGTTAACTTCCTCTTAGAAGATACATTATTTGTTTGTTTCAATATCCTCTTAGTTCACTTATTATTAAATATCATTATTATTTAAATCAATTTCTTTCTCATTTTCACTCTCAAAATCCTATATTGTTAGTTTCTGTAGCTATTCACATATATCCTCTGAATTGTCTGAGTGTTTGGAACCTTGTTATTATGCATCAGAATTATTCTCTTAATTTATTTTTTCTACTTTTTATAGGCCTCCTTAATGAAGCTCTTGTTATGGAAAAATTTCTTATTAATTAAATTCCTATTAGTCTGGTATCATATTTTGATCTTCAATTAAGACTCTGATGTCCTTATCTTATTATTGTGAATTATTGATCTTATCAAAGATTTCTTCATCCTCAGTTTTAACTATGATTGGCTATTAATCTTCTTCCTCTTTAGTTTATGATTATATTGAATTTTCACTCAATTGCAATTATTCAAATTATGCTTAAATGATAAATTCTTCATCCTACTAAACTTCCTTTGAAACTATTTATTTTGAAACATCACCCTCTTATGATAATAAATTATCTTATAGACATTCTTCATTAATTTATTATAAATTGCTTTCTCCTTAATCTACTACTTAGTCTTAGTTAATCTCAATTTCATTTACTTCTGTTTTTTCTTATTCAACTTAATTAGTTTATAGATCGCTTTCTCTAATAGATTTTTTCTAATCTGTTGAATCTGTGAATAAGAATTACTAATCAACTGAACTGTTGAGTCTTTTCTCATCTTAACTATTTTTTTATCCCTCTTCACCTTAAATATTTCCTTTATATTCATCCTATTTATTTTATTCATCTTCACTTTAACTATTTGAATAATTTTCATCCTAATAATGTTATTTGTCCTCATCTTAATTTTAAGATTAATTTTTATCCTCAACTTCCAGTGTTAATTCCTAATTATTACATTAAGATTCTTAATCTTTATCTTAAATATCCTAGTTCATTTCTGTATCATCTTCTAATTGATTAGACTATTCTATAGATTTTTGTGTTTCTTCAATAATTTTATCAGAATATTTAGATTCATTATCTTCCTTATTTTCATAGTTCTCATCTTAATTATTGTTTACTTCATCAGTTTTAGCTTTCACAAGTTCTTACGATGCATCTTCATTAATTGATTCGTCGACTTAATCTAAATTTCCTTTTTTTTCATTCTCAACATAGTTATCCCTTTTATTGCAATTCTACTATAGCCCTTCCAAAATATTCTCTTAGTCCTCAATCTATATTTAAATTGATTATTATTATTCTACTTCCTAATGGTCCTATTTGATTTCTTAACTCAAATCAGGTAGTTGTTCTCCTTGCTCTGATGATCCCTCTTCTATTTATCGTAATTATTCAGAATTGATTTAAGCATTTACATTTTTAGTATCCTCATCAATTGATTCTTGGCTGTTTTTTTCTTCTGTATTTTCACAATCATCTATTTCTACATCTTACCTATGATCTTCTGTGTTTTAAGTTTACATATTCTGGTCATTTTCGATAATATCTTCTAGTTGGATTTACTTCTATTCTTGATTATCTTCTAAACTACCTTCTATATCTGATTATTATACTAAATTATTGGTTTATTCTTATTGCAGTCTCAAAGAGAGTTAGGAATTAATTTACTATCCCGAATCAATATCTTATTTGTAATTATCAATTTCGTCATTATTTATTTCTATAGTGATTTTTTTTTTATTACTAAATTACGGTCTTGCTTTTTTGGTCTATTGATTTGGATCTTCGTTTTCTAGCGAATTTAAATAATGACTTTCTGTTATAATTATGTTAAATACTTTCTTATTTTAGATTTTAATATTAATCTGGATTTTAATTTTGCACAATGATTGATTCATTTTATGAAATCTCATTGATTAGATTATTCTCAATTTGATGGTTAATTAGATTTAATTTATCTGTTTCGTCAGAATTTACAATATTTGAATCTGCATTAATTTTAGCATCATCATCATTATTTGTATCTCCAATTTGATTATCTAAATTGTCTTGATTTTCTTATTAAACTAAGTTGGTGCTGCTAGCTTAAGGTAAATCATTGGTAATTATGGATTCATCATTCTATTTTAATTAATAGACTTTTTACTTTAGGCTAATCCCCTTGAGATTGATCTTCTGTTGAAATGAATTAACTAGTTTATGGTTATTATTAGGATTAATCCTATTAAAAATCCATAGTCAATTTCTTTTTAGAATTTGGAGTACTAGAACTTCCAACATTTTTCTTCATAAATTAATTAGAAATGAATATTATAACCAATAATTAATTATTAATAAGATGTAAATAAGTATAGTCTTATGTTACCTATAAAAATTTCATCATCTCATTTAATACTATGGAAGCCTATTCAATGAGTCTGTGTAACGTTTGTCAGTGTAAAATGTGCCACTGTCGAGTATTCTCGTGGCTCCTGTGATGACATGTTAAGGTGGAGTGAAGGCTGACTACTAAATTGATGGATAAAGGGGTTATGAAGGTTTGATATGACTAGGAGTCTTGGAATGGAAGGAGACAGCATCTGAAATATTAGGACTTGGTAGAGTGTGGATTTTAATGAATTCTGGTACATCATTATGTCTAATCTTGATTATGTGACTAAGATGAGCAGCAATTTCTATTCTATATGATATTCATTATGAATTACGCTTTTTCTTAATGGAAAATGATATCTGATGTAACCTATTCAAATCTGTTTGAGTATTCATCCAAGATGTTGAAATATTTCTCATTGTCTTCAAGTAAAGATGTACCAAAAAATTGAATGACTGAGGTCATACTGCTTTCAGAATTCAGAGTTTCCAAAAAAGTAACATGAGATGACCATCTTTATTATACCTAGAAAGTCATTTACAAATGATACCAACTGTTTGAGTGATTCAGCATCTTTCTCTTAATTTTATTAATTCTTTTTTTGCTTATTTTGTACATCATTAATCAAAGACTTGAAGAATTGTTCCACGACTCTGATTATACGTGTTTAAATATCAAGTAACTTATTGATTGTATTATCATTTGCAAAAGCCATACTATCCACATTGTTCTTCAAATCAAAGTAACTTTTGGCAAAGAAATTAGCTATTTAATTTAGGATTATATTTAAACTTTCTTGAACAATGTCTTTATAAACAGTATTAAGGACATTCTCTAAACATTCAATTTTATTTGCAGTCTATTCCAACTTATGTTTTTTGATATGCTCTTCTACGCATTGTGGACATAATGGAAGCAAGCATTGAATGCATGAACAAAAGTTGGTTAAAATATTCCCCTTATGATACAAACATGGAATCTAAATAGTATGTGATTAATACTTTTGGAGTATTGAATCCATCATATACAAAATTCTAACTCAAAAGTGTTGGTTGCTCATTTGGTGATACAAAGACTTATAAAGTTTATGATTTGATCTTCCCTTTTTAATCTGTCATGGCATTTTCATCATAGATATTTCCTTTGTTTGTTGTTAATTAACTCATGTGAGTGGCAGTTAATAAAATAATTATATAAATGAAACTTGTTAGTGTAAATAATAAAATTTGAATGAAATTAAACTAAAAATTATTAGATAGACTAGAAGAGTCTTTGGCACAAAGTTTTGTTCAAAAATATTACGAAGAGAAAAATAGGAAAGTTGCTCCAGAAGAATTCATCAGTGATGAATATAAGGGAAATTTTAGAGTAAGACAGGTTGGAGATAAGCAAGAAAACATGAAGAAAAGTAAACTTGATGCAATGTCAACAGCTACATCCAATTTCTATAAAGAGGCAGGAACACCGAATTCATCTAAGCCTCCTTCCTCTATTAATTTTTCTAAATTATTAGATTAAAGTAAAGTTTCCTAACTAAAGCAATCCATTATAACAAACAGAATTACATCTGCTTAACCTACAAGACCTTTAATGATTAAAAAACTCTAAAAGAATACAGAACAATTATCAATAGAAACCAAAGAACAAAAACCCCCAATATTTGCATTAAAAAGGTTGTCATCTACAAAATAGCAACAATAGGATGAAGAAAAGTCTATCCTACAGAATTAAGAATAAAGTCTCAATAATTCATTAGTAGCGAAGCCTTCGATACTAAGAAGAACCTCGTTACATGGAAAAAAAATTGAAATCAAAAAAGAAGAAGTCGAAACAAAGAAATTATCTCTTATTAAAAATTAAGAATCTCCTGTGTCTGAACCTGTATTTCAATTCTAAATTGCCAAAAGAAAAATCGATGATATGATATACGATACTATGGATATAGATACCTTACAAGAAATTACAAAACAAAATGAAGTACATATTAAACCAATTAAATTCTAGAGTTAGTTTGATTAAATTACATCCATTCAATTTAGATTCAATACTATGAATGATTCATTATATATGTTAGGAGAATACTTATCAAATTTACAAGAACTTAAACTGAATAATTCATAGGTAGAATCATTGAGATTGCTAGGAACTAAATTGAGAAATTTGCAAATTTTATGGATTAGCAATTCAAAATTAACTGATATTTCTGGTACAACTATTATATTTAATCGCGCTTTTAGGAATAATGAGTATGCCAAATCTATTGGAATTATATTGTTCTTTTAATAATATCAAGGATATAAGTCCTTTGGCCTTTCATGAAAAGATATCCATTTTGGACATTGAAGGCAATGAATTGGCTGATGAATCCTAAATTGATTATTTAGAATCCTTAAATTTGCAATAATTGATAATTAGTTCAAATCCATTAATCAAAGATGATTAATTGAGGGGTAAACTATATGAAAAATTACCCGCTACTGAAATCTATATTGATGACAATGATATACCAACAGAATCTTAGATAATTTCAGAGACAAGTCAAATTAAATAACTTTACGATATAGCAGAAATGATGGACTCTAAATTTGATGTATTTTAATTTATCAATTTTAGCTCATTAAAGTAGAGGAGTTGAAGGATTTAGAAGAAAAGGTTAAATATTAATTAGACAAAGATCTCCTTGAAGAACCTGATGAAAATAGATTATTAAGTTTGTCTATCAAATAAAAGCCTTTGGAAAAGTCAAAATTAAAGCGACCATAAACTGCCTAGGTTTAACAGTCATTTACTGTAAAAGATTTCATCCATAACATTAGCCTGATCCCATCTCAGAATTAGTTGGATTAGATGAAGCTTTTGCAGGAAATCCATTAAAAGCAGCCAAAAAACACAAATAAAACCGAGAATAAATTTTTGATCCTACTGATAGGAAAAGCATTGACATATAAACTTTATTAAATAAGTTCAAATGAGTAATGTAGTTAAATATAAATATATAATCATTAATTTCTCAGTTCGTCTAGAACACCTTTTCTTTCTAAATCATTTATCTCTTCTTTATTAAACCATCTAACTCTCTTTCCTTCTGCCCACTCTCCAATTCTCATTACATTGTCCGTCGAATAATAAATTCCAACTCCTTGTTATTTGCCTCCCTACCAAATTCCAATATATTTCCTTCCATCTTACCAAATAAACACTCCTTTACCGTGTTTCTTATCGTTTTCGTATTCCTAACTTATTCAAACTAAAATACTCCAGTATATTGTCTCCCATCCAACCACTTTATATCTCCCTTGCCATGCATTTTATTTTTACTCCATTATCCAATATACGACCTCCCATCTGACCATTGATAATTTCCAATACCTTAGATTTCATTATTTGAAAATTCGCCTAAATATCATATCTTAGACCTACCTTAATAACATGAACCATCTGCAAAATTCAATTTCCCTTTACCATGCTTCTTCCCAAACTAATACTCTCCTTCATAAATGGCTCCGTCTGGCCAAGTCTCTCTTCCTCTTCCATGTTGACTATCATTTAGCCACTTTCTAATGTTTTAAATCCTTTACCTCTCCTTGATATTTTGCTCCGTTCACATGAATGTAGATGCCTAATCCATTTGCAGCATCATCAACCCATTCTCCATCATACACATCTCCATCTGCATGGATTAATTTTCCCTATTTTTAATTATATTTAATTTTACTTTTCCGCAAGATTTATCATCTTTCCATTCCCCTTCATAAATTGAGCCGTCTGGCCAAGATTATTTGCCATAACCATCCCTCTTCCCTTGAAGCCATTCTCCCTCATAAGATGAGCCATTTGCCAAGAATATTTACTAGTTAAACTTTACATTTTTACTGGAAGTTTAATTCTCTCATTGGTTGCCATACTCTTTTTTATTAGAGGATTTTAGTTCGCATCTTGATTTTGAATAGGAAGATTCTTTTCGATTTGCTTTATTGACACCTTACTATGTTATGAGGAAACCATTAAATCAGAAACAGTATCACTTTTCTTTTTTTATTTTTTATCCTCCACTTTTTCCTATTCTTTATTAATTTATTGGGAAGGTATTGACTTTTTAATTTAGATCTCGAGAGATAATCCAGAATTTCGTAAAGTATAAATCTCTTCCTTTTTACAACATGTGTTCATTGTACAAGTTTATCCCATTTTGAGAAATAAATATTAATTAGTTGCAATTGAAAATAAATTTATTTGTAATGATAACTTATCTCAAATCCAAAGAATGATCTCTTACTAGTAATTGTTAAAATTTATTTTTGAATTGCTCATCATTAATTAATTAAATTATTTTTGGATTCTTAATTTAAATTGTATATTCCCATTTCTCATCATAGAATAACACAATAAGGCCATATTTGAAAACTAATTTATTCATTTCTGTAATAACAATATTAATAAAAAAATAACAAATAATTTTAATCCAAAAACTATTCAAGAATTGATCCTTAATTTTCAATTCTCAATCTATCCCACAGTTCAAAACAGTGCGAGTACTATCAAAGGTTTCCTGTGAAAATTACTATTATCTAGAATAATCACAATTATAATTTGGAATTATTATTAAGAAAGAATAAGTATATCATTGATAACTTTATTGATGGACGAATAACCATCTTATTTGTTTATCATCAAATCTAATATCTACTCTTTAACTCATTTATCAGAACTGTGATAGCAATTCTTTTCAAATAGTTAATATTTTTCTTTCTAAAAAGTTCATCTATTATGTCTTCAGCATCTTAGAAATAGATTTATTAATTTTGTCATAGGATATGCACTAATTAATCTATATTCTCTTTTTTGAATTATTAACCATTATCTATGTTCATCTAATTAAATTATTATTTCTAATTATCAGAATAAGGTGTAGAATTAAGGAGTAGGCATTTTCTATGAAGTTATTTCTAGAGATTTTAAGGAAGGCCTAATTTTGTTAGCTTGATTCACATTTCATAAGATTTTTATTTAACTTTCCTAATGCATTATCTCTGCTAAATTTAGGAATAGTTCCATATAAAACCTGTAGTTTTTTTATGCTAGCCTTTAAGTGTAATTATTATCACAATAATCCCAAGTCTTATGAAGTTTTTCCTTTAGAATGTACTATTTAAATTATTAAACAACTAAATTATGTATATGTATATAATTGCAGAAATTAATTCTTAACGTTAATATTAAAAATCTAATTTTCTGCAATAATGAGTTAATTTTAAAGACCTACTTCATCAAGAAAGGGCACCAATAATCTTCCTGTGTAATAAGGAGATTTGGAAGAATATATGTAATAGATAATTTGATAGTAGTCAAATATTATATGATCATTAAAAGAGTTGTGAGAAGGCTGGAAAGTACCTGGAAGCAGATTAGGCTAAGAAAAGATTGGCGGAATTAAAGAAGGAATTAGAATTAAAAAGCAAAGGAGATGTAAAGGATAGACACTTTTCAGAGAAATAAGAGATTGAGTAAGCACATCTTGAGGAATTTAATTAATTTAATTCTTTTTGGGATGAAAAAATGACAGAGTTTGATAGCGAAGCTCAAAAAGTGAAGGAATAAACACTTCAAAGGCATGAAGATGAACTTAGATAATTTTCTGAAGAATTGGAGAATTCACTTCCAGTAAAACCCAAGGATTCAGCTGAGCTTTTGGCTTTGAGAAAGACTGAAGAATAATTGGCTAAATAAGAGAAGTATTTAAAATGTGTTATGCATTCAGTTACTTGGAGGCTCATACGATCCAATCTCGAATTCAGGCATAAGAAAGAGATGAATATGAGAAGTGGACTTCGTGTAGACAATAGAAGATAAGAAATCTGATTACATAATTGAGATAGAAATAAATCAATGAGTTGAATGCTCTGACATAGAGAATATTGAGTGGATAAGAAGAATAAAGAAAAATTCGATCTCAAGAATTAGAAAAGTGATTTTGTTGATTAAATTTTAGGTTACTTTAAAAATATCAAAATGTGAGAAAAGAACTTGAAAGCCAATAAACCCAAGAAATAACCAGACTAGACAAGACAAGCAAAACTTAATGTATGATAATGGTTTAGAATTTGTAGCTATTATGCAACAATCCAGGATGAATCAATCGAGGATGCAATAAAGTTAATACAAAGATGAGAATCCGTACATCAGATGATATTTAGTTAAAATACTATAAATATATATTAATTAAAATTCGGAATGGGTTCAGCATGTATTAAAAAGCAGCCACATCCTCAGAGACAACAATAACAGCGACAAATCTAATCTCGATAATCATAAAGCACAAATTTGTCATCACATTAAAACACGCAACGTCGAGCTTCAGAATCACAATAACACTAATAACCCTAATAACAAACCAACCAGATACAAATCAAAGAAAACTCATCCAAACCACTTATAAATAGTGGAGTAAATGCTAATCCTTATTTAGTTTACTTCACCAAGATCTGATTTAAACGATAAGTCAATGCTTAGCAAGAACGAACTTACTAAAGTTGAACCCTTAAAGCACCGCTTTCTCTAATAAGAGTCAGACAGCTACCTTTTTAAAAATAACGACGCCCCAGATTCAGATATAGCCATATAAGTCAAAGAACCAGATATAACAAACCCAAAAGTAGACAAAGTATTAAAATCTCTCCCTCCCTTTCAATATGATCCTGATTTGAACAAAAAATTCAATGATTGCATTTCATTACCACCTCATGTAATTATATTCACAATACAAACTAGTAATTCATTAGCACTGGGATTATATATGTTGGGCAATGGAGAAATAAATAAAAACAAGGCAAAGGACGTTAGTATTGGCCAGATGGAACTTACTATGAAGGGTATTGGTAAAACCATGGGGCCAATGGTAAAGGAAGGGTGATTCGTTCTGATGGTTCCTATTATGTAATCATTAATAATCCATTTATTTCAGGAAGGAGATTGGCAAGATGACTTATAATGTGGATTTGGAAAAAATGTTGATTCGGAAGGAAATGTTTATGAGGGAGAATGGAAGGATGATGAGAAAGATGGTCAAGGAACAGAAAAATGGGTATCTGGAGACACTTATTCTGGCTAATATTAGGGAGGTATGAAACATGGTAAAGGAAAATATATTTGGTCCAATGGAAATTGCTATGAAGGAAACTATCACAAAGACTAGATCGATGGATTTGGCACCTACAAATGGCCGGATGGTTAAGTCTATACTGGAGAATGGGCTAAGGATTAAATGTATGGGAAAGGCACATTTATTTGGGTTAATGGCAATAAATATGTTGGCGATTATAAAGAGGATAAGAAGGAAGGTTATGGTGTTTTCTCCTATGCCGATGGGAAAACATATAAAGGAACTTGGCATAATGGAAAGCAACATGGGAAAGGAGTGTTAATTGAAGCTGATGGGATGGAAATTGTTGGAGTGTGGGAAAAAGGAAAACTAGTTTAATAAGAGTGAAACTTAAATTTAAAGTATTTGCTTTAATAAATATTACTTAATTGCTAATTTTATCTAAATCTATATGAGCAATCAGGATAATCAAATATTTCACACAAGAGCTATGTATATTTAATATTGCTATTAGAATAATTTCTTAAGACAATTTATTTATTATTATTTGTTATATTTTTAATGAAATTTAGTATCTACTGTTGTTCTCCAAACGTTAAAGGTTCGAGAACCTAATAAAAAAATGATGAATCTACAATGGTGAGTATTAGAAGCATCTCCTAAATCAGTCTACCCTCTATCTCAAAAAAAAAGAAACCATGGGTCTTTTAGGACGACTATGATTTCTTAAAGGATGAAAAGAGAATGTTCAAACTTCTTGATGATGATAATTCCCCTTACATCAATCGAAGATAATAAGCTGTTAAATTAATCTAACAAATTGATTATACTGATCCTGCTGATATTGAGGAAAGATTCTCATTTATTTTAAAGTATAATATAATCACTAATCAAGAGATACTTAAAGCAAACAAGGATAGGCAATCTTTATAATATTGGAGTGTTTGCTTTTGCTTTTATATTACAAATTAATAATTTACTCTAAAAAGCAATCTAAGTTTGGTAAAAATTTTTAGTCTTTTGTAATGGCAATAGGGCATTTAAATATAAAATGATAGCCTATAAATTTCTATCAGAACTATACCTTTTAGAATGTGATCTAAGAAGGTCTCTAAATTATAGTAAGAAATTCCTCAAATATGCATTATGCTTCAAAGAATACGAATATGAATTGAATGCATATGAATTGATCAGCAAGATCTATTACTACAAATAAGAATCTCAACTAGCCAAAGCTTTTCATTAGAAATTTATGGATGGTGAATAGCTTTCCAACACAGACTAAATAAGGATCTAAGCAAAAAAACTCTTTGATTTTAAGATCAAACAATAACAAAGTTTGGGAAAGATTGATACTGACAGCGAAGAAGAATTTGAATTAAACAAATTGGTAGAACCAAAAGAGTTGACATTTAATCCCATTAAAGTTAAGGATGTTTTAATTAAAAATAAACACTTATGGGGGCATGTCAAAAGAGAAAGTGAGCCATTAGGGCCTATTAATAGAAGCATTCTGGATAGAAAATTGTTCTAAAGAGAATATTACACACAATTGAGTCACAACAATAGTCTTTAAAAATATGTTAATAATAAAGGAATTGCATTAACAACTACGAAGAAGAACTTTATCGTGATAGATAAATTAATATTTGATATACAATAATTTTGATTTAACGAATTTTTTCATTTATATTTAGCACTTTTATTTTAAATACAGGTTAGACTTTACTCTTAAATTTTCTCCTTAAATAATTAATTAAATATTTTAATCTAATCATATTCAACTACTATTAACACTATTAATGAAATATAGTATAAAAATTTATTTTATAATTCAATATTTCAAAATTACTTCAACCAAAAGTCGAATTTATGTTAAATAAATATAAATGTTAAATCATTGTTGCTTTGGTTTATTCGGCTTTTTTATTGAAGCTAACAATATATTAAGATTATACATTAATAGGATTTAAAAAATCCTTGAATATGTTTTGCTGCCTCCATTTTCTTCTCTTTTTCAATATAATGAGCACCTTTTAACTTTTTAAACTTTTCTTCTAACTCTTACTCCTATCTTTTTTGAGAATCAACTATTGCAAAATATGATTTTCTATCTCTTAATTATTACTCTATTTCTGAGCATTCTTATTGTAATTCTTGTAATTTTTATGATGATTCCTCCATCACCAAATCGTAGTTTTATACACCATCAGTTAAACCTTATTCTTATATTTACTTAATTCTCTTTAATTTAGTTTCCTCTTAAGTATTTTCATCTTTTAATTTATTGAATTTTTATTTCAATATCTAGAGTTCTGTCTACAATTCATTTATTTTTGTTTGCTAATTCTTTTCAAGGTACTAAAATTGAGATTTTATCTGATTTTTGATGCTATCAGTGTTTTATTGTTTTTCGATTTTCAAATTATTTAAGCCTTATTTTAATTTCTCAGCCTATTCCTTCATCTCTTCTAAATTTCTGGAGTTTTATTGCTTTAATTTGTATAAATCTTATTCTAAATATAGTTTTGTCTTTTCTTGTTCCTCTATCTAAAATTATATATGAAATATACATTCGATTTAATGTTTTCAAACTGTTTAATTTAAATGCTCTTTTCTGCTTATGTAATACTCAATTTTTTGAGCATTAAGGTCCTTAAGCACTTTACCCCATGTAAATAGTCGTTTAGTTCGTTATTCACATTTTTCTTCATACTTTTTAATATTTCGAACTCCTTTGGAATATGCTACATCCTTCTCCTTAAAATCTTGAAATTTTCTTAAAGTGCTTGTTCCAACCTATCAGATTCAACTTTTTTCGATTCTTCCATTTCCTCTCCTTAACCAATTGCGGTCTGTAAATTTGCATATTACCTAAACTTTTATTCAAGTTCTGCTTATCTTTGTAATATTTTAATAGTTTCTTCAGTAAGTTACAGCTTTTCATCCTTTTAAAACTTACTTATTGAAAAACGAGTAATCAACTCAGTATCTAAATAGATACAATATTCTATGTCTTCAATTAATTGATCCAAAACTTTAACTATTCTTTATGCTTCAACTATGATTGATTTTCCAACTATAGAAGCTGTAAGATTCTATAAAATCTCTAAATGTCCTTCCTAAAACGATTTATGTTAGATCTTTATTTTGTTATCTACAAATCCTGTCTCTGTTGATTTTCCTGATAAATTCTGCATGCCTTTCATTAGAGATAAATATATTATTACTCTTTCAAAATTAATTTTATAATTTAATTATCCATACTGATAAATTTGGATGAGCTTATTCTTTACTAAGTTCATTATTTTTTCAACCCAATTGCTAGTATCTTTAATTAAATATCAATAATTTAATTAGATTTAGTATTTGATAGTGTTGATTTTTGTTAATTAGACTATTGCTGTTATTCTGTTTATACTAATAGTATTTATTTTAAATAAATTTATAAGTTATGTCAAAGAGGAAAGAAAGAACATTTAGTATAGATCATTCAAAATTTTCTAAAACTGCTCTTTAATGAATGCATTTCCAAAAAAGGATACACTGATAAATTGCTCAAATGGGCAAATCAAGACTAAGAATTAATTTTATATTAATCTAATTATCCCTTCTACCTCCCTTTATCGATAAACTCATGAAATATGACTTGGTAGAGTAATATCAATGTAAAGTGATAAATATAATTATTAATATGCATATTTATTATTAGACTACTTATAAACTTCACAATTTGGGATTTTATGAGGAAACCTCTTAAAGACCTAATACTTTCTCTAATGTATCCAATCCATATTTGGAAGGAGCTCCAGTTTCTTTTAATAGATTTCTATTTAATCTTGAATTTTAGATATATTCCTTATTCATAAACTTTTGATGCCACTCAATCATTTTATCGGTTCCAGGTGTTTAAAGACCAAGCATTTCTGAAAGATCCTAGAATATAGGGTGGCATTACTTTAAGTATGCATAATCCATAAGGAATGTCTTCCCAAAAGATTCTGGCTTCAGTGTTTAATTACACTCCTCCCTAAACAGGTTTGGTAGGTATTTAAATAGTAGCATATCCAGCATTAGTTCTGAATACAGTTTTCAGATTAGATCTGTCTTTAACTTGATCACCGTATTATTAAATAATTCTTTCCTTAATTGGTATGATTAGATCTAAATTAAAATGAGGGTATCTTTTGATTATCTCTCTTTTGATAGCTTAGATTTCATCATCCAAAATTTGGAGCATATAGGCACTAAAATCATCAAAATCTTCATAAAATGTGGGTACCTCACTAGGTTAATAAACTTATTTACCATCCCAATTCTAAAAATAAACATAATATCATACTCGAAATACAGCATAGACTCTAGCAGGATGAATGATTTGATTGCTAGGAGTTAAGGTTAAAGTCAAAAAGTTGGGTGCTTAAAGGACAGGGATTTAAAACATGTTCTCTAATAATAAAAAGAGTTCTTCCTTCCTGTTTAGATTTGAGAGTGCGCATTAAAGCTTGGTTTTTGGCCCAATTATTCTTACAGATTCTCCATATTTGAAAATTTTGCATAGCCAAGGTATATTGTAAAGACCAAAATAAGTGATGTTATCGGTTCTGATTCTATCTCCAAAAACACTCCTGCACATCCATTCAAATCCACCTTATGCATACAATGTACCCTTTATTATATTGTAATTGCAAATACCACAAAAGAATCCTTGGTCACATATGGAGCAATCTTCTACAATATTTCATGATGAACATGAGCTGGTCCTCCTATGATCCACAATTTTGCACCTGCGAAATCCTAGGGGTTATTGGAAACCTTATTAATTTTTCCTTGATGATTCAACATATAAGGACATACCAACAAAATTTCCAAGTGATTCCCATGGACTTCCTTTTGTCAAACCCACAATTTCTTGTTTCCAATCTTGAGGCTTTCTGGTAAAGACATTCACTTAAATGTTTTCAAAACGGCCTGCTGATGCCACAGTGGCATGAGAACCATTTCCACCTCCGCACACTACAATACTTGTTGGAATCATTTAATTTTATTTCATAATTTGATGAAAGCAATAGTTAATACAAAAAAAAATAAAAATTTTTCCGATACCGGGGATTGAACCCGGGTCCCCAGGGTGAAAACCTGATATCCTAACCACTAGACTATACCGGAAATGTTAAGAGCTAGTTACGGATTTTAGTTATATTTGGCAAAAATAAATAATTCATTTTCATTATCTATATAATTTGTCAATATAATTCAACAATTCTCTGGGTGTGACTTATTTTCTATCTTCAGACAACTTAAACTTTTGTTGATAATGAGTATTATTCACAATATAAATTGTAAGTTCCAACATCTTTTCTAAATCCAATTCATAAAAATTTTGGTTCTATAAAAATGTAACACAACATAATAATACCTTCAATTAATTGAACACTTCTATGTATCTTTCAGCTTAGTCTAATTAGAAATCCTTGTCTGTGTATAACTCATCAGATTTGGAATCCAAAAGCATGACTCTAACATTTCTGGGAATGACTTGAATATCTTACTCATCAAGTTTGAGCAGTTCCTTCAAGCTTGGGTTATTTTAGAAACATTTACTTCAATTTTTTTAGGTGTCATATTCTCCATTTTATCCTTAATGATTTTGTCAATCTACAATTTTGGGAATATTTGTAATCTTTAAACATCACTCTAATGTTATTCATTATTACTACAATAAATAGTTGGACAATACTTTTATATATAACTGCTTTAAGTTCGTTGTAGATATCGTTGTTGATGTCCAGTATTTTCTGGCTGACTAAAGTATCTCTTTATTTCAAGGGGGTGATTTTCAGGAATCAGATGAGACTCTTCCATCAATTTTTCCAGCAATTATATTTGATCTTTCTTCAATCGATTAGCCTCTTCTGGATCTACATAAAATTAGAATTCCTCCATCACAGGTCCATCAGGTGTGAGATGTCTTTTCTTCATAAAATTTATTCGAAATTCATCCAAGATATCTTCTCTTTATTAAAATCCTTTCACCCGCTTTCTTCCTAATTCAGCAATAACATTATTTTGAATTTCAGCAATGTCCTTAGATTGTTGTTCTTTTAGCATTTACTCTTATCTTTGATACTCCTAACGACTAATGTTTGAGTGTCCTAATGATTGCCATTTAAATTAGTAATATTTTTGTTTGTCTTTCAATTCTCGCTGCCCCATCAGAAGGATTTGCTTAAGAGTTTTAGAGTATTGGGATTCTTTGGAAGACTCATACAAAATGTCCTATAGAATCTAAAATATTAGTGGGAATAATCAACCTATTCAATATTGATGGATTCTATTGGGCATCGAATGAGATTAGCCTATTCTTGATTGCGAATGGACTCAAACTGAATTTAGTTTGTTTGTAATTGCTCTTTTGACTTTTTTTTAATAATCGGCAAATCGGTTTAGATTTCTTCAAAGATGCCACTATAATCATCATTCCTCTCTATTTTGTTGTGTTATTTACGCTTAGTATTCTTTTTATTCATTTCAAAGATTTAAATATTAAAATATCTAATTACAATACACTTCTTTTTTTCGGGGTTGTTTTTAATATTTTGATTGTTTTTAATCACAATTTATATTAAAGAGACCCCTTTTAGCATTGTAGAAAGTAAGAAAGTAAGAAATAAAATTCAAAAAAAAATCTCCATTCGAAGAAGCTGTAGATTGAATCTCACCTTTAATAACTTTGAGAAAATTAAGGGTATAGGGTTTGAGAATTCAAGAAATAATGCGATAAATTGTGGATTTAGAATCAAACTCTTTCATTAAATGTCCTTAAATTAATAATGAGTGCATTCAAAGTGTTTTACATGCTTAAAATGCTTGAGCTAGAATCAGTTATCAAATATGGTTATTAAACGAATATTTAAATGATTTAATTTCAAAAAATTATCAACAAACTCACTCAATTAAAGAGTACAAGTCTATTATACAATTGGATAATGATAATTAGCTAATATGTATGGAAACTTGATTTTATTGCATTATTATTAATTTAATTATTTTATATGCCTCCTAAAACAAATAAGGATCAAAAGGGTCGATAACTATTTAGAGTAGGCACACCATTAAAGGATGTGATACCATAGAGTGTCAAGAATCCGCCAAGGGATCCAAAATCACTTAAAGCACCAGAACAAATTAACAAATAGAGTATGCAGGGTAAAGCAAATTGATAAATGTAAAAGAATATCATCCGTTTCCTGACCCTGAGGAATGGCCAGGCGATGAAGCCGTTTAAGCTATAAATCTTTTACAGGGAGAAGCTTAACTTACTAAGTGCAATTTTGAAACTGACAACTATGTTCCTTTTTGGAGGAGACCAAAGGCTTTTTTAAGATAAAGATGGCAATAGTAAACCAATATATAATTGATGTTAGAGAATCTGAACATGAACCACCTTACATGGACATGAGAGAAAATAGATATAATATGAATGATGATTATTACTCAACTAGACTTGAAACAGTTGAAAAAATACATTATATGGAGAAGGAAGTCGAACATCATTTGACTATTTGTGAGAGTTATGAGAGAATGGAAACACCTGAAGAAGTGGAGATGAGAAGAAAGGAGTTCTTAGAAAAACAGGCAGCTTTATAAAAAAATAAAAAGGGTAATAAAAAACAAGCAGAAGAAGTGTTTGATGAAAATCCTAAGATGACATCTGATGTCAGATTAAGTGATCTAATTTGTGGTGATGCATTACCACCCAATTCTCGTTGGATTGCCTCATAATTATAGCAGATTAAAGACAGAGATATTAAGGATTGTTTTACTCAGAAGTCACTCTCCAGCAAGATCTATCCATAAAAGGATGGAGCACCAATTTATAATCCTAATGGCAAATATATAGTCAAATTGTACTTCATGGGAAAGGAGAGAAAGATATAAGTTTCTGATCACATGCCTACATCATTTGATGGCAAAGCATTATTACCCTAAAGTGTCGATAAGAATTAATTATGGCCAATGATTATCAGTAAGGCAGTCTTATAACTATGGGATTATCAAAGTAAGGGTAGTTTGGTTGGAGATGGATTTGTTATGTATTCTTTGATGGGTTTATTGACTGAAACTATTGATTTGAAGTCCATCAACAGTTGGGGTATCATAGACAATATGATGAATAATAATCATTATGTCTAGAAGGATGTGTTTGTATCAACTTATAGTTATAAAAATCAATCTACCTTAAATACAAATAATAGATCTAAGAAAGAATATTAATTGGAATTATTGAGGAATCCCAAAAAAGAATTTGATAATTATGAAGTAGCCAGAAATAAAAATGGGTCTCCTTCTTAACATCAACAAATGCAATAAGAAGAATAGGATGAGCAATAGGAAGAAATGTAATAGGAGGAGAACGAGCAAAAGATTCAAAGGTTCAGGAAAACTCAAAGGGGATTCTCTTTCGAAAGTTTAAGTCGATCATATTCTATACCTAAACCTTCTAAAGCACCAGGAAATACAAATATTAATACATGTTTTTCATATTCAATTGTAGAGTAATTTTAGAATGAAAATGGATTCAATATGGTTTATGCATAAAAAAGGAGCGACAGAGAATTGAGATTGAGGTAAGAATATTTTGATCTCTGCAAAACTCCTATGAATAAGATGACAAAGGAAGAGAAACTGGATTTGAGAAGAAGAAAGAAAGAAATTAAGGAAAAATTACAAGATGATGATAAAAAAAGGATCTCATTGATTAGTCAATAACCTGTCAAACATAGATACTTAAGATTAAAGAGTGATGTCTCAGGCAAAGATCCAGTGATTGTTTTCAGTCCTCTTGCTGCTGATGAAATATATATTGCTAAGAAATGTATTGCTAATAAGCTGAACAAGCCTCCTAATTATGATATTCCTGAAATTAAGGGTGATGATAAATCCGTGGTTTCAGCCAATATGAAGAATACAGATGATAGCTTCACTGTGAAACCTTTAGAGGATTTCTCTTCTGTTTCTAATGCTCAAGAACCATTTAACAGAGGAGAAGGTGGATTCTGGGTGCATGAAAAAGAATTCCTGAGTCTTTTTGATTACATTCAAATAGCTTATGATCCAAAGAGATATAACATGCAAGTTCTGCAAATTCAAAGCAATCCAGACAATGATATTGCTGGTTATGACAATATTGAAATGGTAATTGTTCAAAGAGATCCTGATTCTGAAGATAATGCATAGGTTGCATTTCTTGTTGGATTTCAACCCAAATATTCTCAGAATAAAGACTTTAATGAATAAATTAGGCCATATTCAATGTTATAACGTTTTGATTTAGAAACTTATGAGTCGATATTGGATTACAAATTATTGAATTAATGTGTTAGTTCATAGATGCTATTATTAGATAATAAAAATCACATATTCAAAATGAATATATACTCACCACTCAATTTCACTATGTGGTTGACATCTAATAATAAAATCAGCACTTAAAGTGTGTTCGATTATTTGATTGATTATGAAAATTATCAAAAATAATCCTTCCAAATAGATTATCCAGCATGTGAAGCCAATAGATACTATGTGTACTTTAGATTCAAAGTGTTTTTGAATTCTAACAAGGAAAATGGGTCATTTGTTTACCGATTGAAGAGTACAACAGATAATCAATTATTGAAATTTCTCAAAATTAAATTATGTGAAATTCCCCCTCCTGATAATAACCTAATGCTTACTACAATAGAGGGAGTACATAAGAATCTATTTGAAAGTGAGTCCATCATTAATGGTACTTAAAGAATGATGCTTCGAAGTTAAACTACATACTATTTTATACTAGAAGGAACCCCTTAATACAACACTTAAGAAGGCACCTTCGAATTGGATTTCTTAGTCAATCAAGAATTCACCTTCACATAATTGGAAAATGTAGAACCTACTCGTTATTATGACAAATATGTTCCAACCAAATATGGTACTATTTTTAGGGAGAGGATCTTTGCAAATGAAGCCCAAGCTAGCATCTATGTTAGATTAACAGAAGGACAACAAGCTTAGTAGTAATAATAAGTGGCCAAAGGTAAATAAACAAAGGGAGGAGCTTAGGAATTAGAAATAGTTGAATCTGAAATGAGAGGAGAAAGACTCATTCGTTTAGAATTATACCATGGGGATGATTTGATTGTGTATAACTATGGAATAAATTCAGTCACTCTTTCAAATATTACTTTGCCTAAAGATGAAAATTATGTAATCTAAGCATCCTTTGATCTCAGAGAATGGCCAGAGGCTAAAATTAAATCTGAAGAAACTGATAATTTGTATTGGTTCACAACTATATTTGCATCAGACACTGTTGCACTTGTAAGAGATACAACAAAGGAAGACAAAGAAAAAGCAATTAAAAAGTCTTGGGAGGATAAAGAGCCAGGAAGAGCTGTAAATGCTAAGAAATCAAGAACAAAATATTTACTAACATTAAAGGAAGAACTAACTCCTGAGGAATAGGCTATTGTAAATGCACCTAGAATGACAAAAAAGTAAAGGGAGGAGGAGGCCAAGTAAGCGGCACAAAAAAAGGGACCAAAAAAGGATGATAAAAAGGTCGGTAAGTAATCAAAAGTTGAGGCACCAGTTGAAACTGCTCCTTAGTAAAGATAAATACCAAAATCTGAAAATCACGTTAATGAAGCCATTACATAATTCTTATAGCATTTAGAATAAGATAGAATAATGGATCACTATGCTAGACATGCTGGATTGATTAATGTAAGAAGCGATGTTTAGAAAAGGGAAATAGTGGAAGGAATTTTGATGGGAAAGGAAGAGATCGCTGGAATTATCTAAAGAAATCTTAAAATGAGAGAAGAAATTAAACTTCTTTAAAAGTATTTTTTGAATTTAGCAATAATAGGGATAATAAAGAAATATTAATTAATGAATTTTAATCTTACAGGTCATCATACAAATAAGAACTTGCAGAGATATATTAATAACGAGATTCTATCAAATAGGATTTGACTTAATTAATGAAGAAAGAGCAATAATTGTTTGATGTAAGATGTGCATTAATAACAATAGTTATGCAAATAAGAAAAAATAGGAAATCCAGAGGATGTAGAGAAATTAATAGCTGATCCCTCTTAATTAGATCCTGTTTTGGTAAGTGCTGCCAGATAGGTCATAAATAATTGGAGGATAGCAATAATTCAAGAAAAAATAAACACGGCTCTGTAAAACTTTGATGTTGATACATTGCAGAAGTGTGTTGATTAGATTTAACAATTAAATATTGAAGGCTTAGACACAAGTGCTGCTGAGGATATGCTGGATGAAGCATCAGGCAACCCAAATTTTTAGGCAGAAAAATTGGCAGAACTTAAAAAACAAGGGAAAAAACCAATTAAAAAATGAGAATTTAAATTTAGTAATATATAATTGTTATTTTACACTTATTCTACTATATATTACTATTCTATTTATTATGTTTTAAAATTAGAATAATGATAAAGATAGAATTATTAATAAGA